CAATACCCTCATGACGTGGCACACATATCAGTTGTACTCTGTTATGTCTGGCCAATTGCATGAGGGATTGGTGGCAATTCCAAACCAATTTTGAAGTGATATGGTGTCTACCAAGTGCTTTAATTGCAGCTTGACTGTCTGATAGGATATAGATGTTCCTGTTTCTATAGTTCATATCTAAATTCTCAACTGGGCATGCCTTAATGGTATACACCTCTGCATGGAATACTGTTGTGTACTGACCAAGGCTGAAGGTATGTTTCCGCCTCGTTCTATCACAATACACCCCAGCTCCAGTGCCTTTATTTGTCTTGGAAACATCTGAATACCAGATTAGTCCCCCCTTTCTATCGAGTTGAAACCCCTCTTTCCATTCACTTCTATCAGGGAATCTGATCGTGAAGGGTCTATCATAAACATGTTTCGGTAGCATTTTATCAGATCCCATCTGTAGGATGGGTTCTTTTTTCATGTCCCGAGTCATGCATCCATGTCCAAAACCTTCGGATTTATTTTAATGTTACAAGCAGACCATACTCATGTTCTACATATGTATGTTTTGCTTAATTATTTACGTACAAAATTTAGGCACATAGAATATTACATATATCTAAAATTTCCTTTGATAAGCATGGGTTACGAGTAGAGTATCCCCCCCCCCCAAACTCACATGCTTTTAAGCAGGATGAGAATCTTTATGAAGACTACATTATTTTCGAAAGTTACAAACTCTATTGTATCAGAAATGATAAACATGCGGGATTTGAACACATGGTGGGCCAAGGAAATAAACTTAATTTCCAGTCCACTAAAATTTTTACCTCCATTGCTCTGAACGGCCAATTATTTGTACATGAAAGTCACTCAACAGTGTTTTAAATTTCCAAATCAAAAGGTTAATCAACTCCGTCCAACGTGACTGATGAAATGTTTTTTCTTTCTTTCCTTTTTAATCAAACCAAATCAAATTTTATAAAACCTACTAAAGTGTTCTGACTATGAATATTACGGACGGACTGGACGTTATAGAGTTCGCTTTACAGGCCACATCATTAAATGAGTCCTAACTAGGTAAGTAATACGGAGAGGCAAATTACGCTATTTGACCTTTTATGGAAGTATTTACAGATTTATGGTTACGGGGTCATTTGACTCCAGAAGGCCCCCTGATCACTGTTTACACGCCTTGCTTCTCCCGAGTTACAGTCAGTGCTTGTTATCTGGTTTTTCTTTGCTCATCCCTGAGATAAGTCTGACACTGTGAGCACACGCATTAAGTAGGGCTACGTGGGAAATGCACATTTGTTGCTTTCACTGCATGAAATTTTATATTGGGTATCTACCTATGGCTCTACAGTTCTTTTGTTGGATCTTTGCCGCTTTTTTAGTTTCTTAATCCTATACAGAGTAGGTAGGACTCCCTGGACGGGGGATCAGCCCGTCGCAAGGCCGCTGCCTAAGCACAGAACAACATAAACACAGAATAAATGTACACAGACATCCATGCCTTGGGTGCGATTCGAACCCACGATTCTAGCGTTCAAGCGAGCAAAGACAGTTCATGCCTTAGACCGCGGGGGCACTGTGATCAGCATATGGGATATCTGCGCTCCATTAAAATGAGTCAGGCAATGCCAGGCAAAGTCTTAATGATGGACTTCCACAATATGACATTTCTCTGATGTAAAAAATAGTATCTGATCGCAGAAGATGCTGTTTGCATACGCTTCTTTGTGCTTTCTTTTTTTTTTGTGTGTGTTTTATTTTCCTTTGGGGGGTTCATTATGTAACAACGCTGTCAGTATCGAGACTATCTAGCGCCGATGATAGAATGATTAATGGATGCGGTACAGATTGCGGAATGAGAACTAGCAGGGGAAACCCGTCCCAATGCCACTTTCTCCAACATAAATCCCACCGCGGTTGCCAGAAACTAGTAGTCTGGGCTGTGGCCTGTCCGTGTGCTCTTGTTAAACATTAGAGATTTCTTAAAATACGCTACAGAAATGATCACATGACAACGAACATCAACAGAAGAACTGCAACAGGCAAAAAAGTCTGCATCAAGATGACTTACTTATGGAGCTGAGCCTTTCTTGAGGAGAAGCCAAATTGCAGCTACTCAAGAATTTCCCAGCATTTTATGGAACCCGAATATTCATTACCGTGTTCACAAGAGCCCTCCACTGGTCCCCATCCTCAGTCAGATCAATCCAATTCATACCATCCCATCCTATCTCTCTAAGATCCATTTTAATATTGTCCAGTCACCTACGCCTTGGTCTTCCCAGTGGCCTCTTTCCTTCTGGCTTTCCCACCAGTATCCTATATGCAGTCCTCTTCTCCCCAAAAAAAGATGATTTGTGGGAACAAATGACAACTCGAGAACATAAAAATATTAATAGTACCATTACATTTTTGATCTTGACATTGGTCTCTGACCGTGCAAGAAAAATGTTGGTTTCAACTGCTGTAACAGACAGGCGACGTGCCAACAAATCATGAAAGCCGATAAACTCGCGTTATCTCCATCGTAAGCCTGTGATAACAAACATTGATATTTGCAAACTGAAAGCAAACAAATGTAATTTCATGTTATCAACGGTTCTGATTCTTCACACTTGCCCAATGATCTATATTATTTCTCAATCGGAAGGCGATAAGGTTTTTTAAAATTGGATAATTTGGCTTATTTGTGCCCTTCTGTAGAGACATATCACGCAGACTGTGTAAAGCCGTACATCAGCCTTTGTGTCAGCAAGTACTTAAGGGCCGAGCAATGTCTAGATCTTGGGCCTGGTCGGGTTTAGGCTTGATTGAATTCACTTTTATCAAAATGTCTAGTTTTTTCTGGCCTAACTGGTCAAGATATCCATATGACTGGACACATCTACCCCTCCGGGTTAAGAAATGCATAGTAAGGTACAGTTTTGAATAGATTTAACAAACGAAAGGTTCATAATTAGAATTTTGTGGTATACTGACAAAATGGGGCGGGGCTGTTATGTTTTAAATCTATGTACTTAGAATTCCGGGGGCACGCGGTAGCGTAGTTAGTTGAAGCACTATGCTACAAGCCGGAAGGTTGCGGGATCGAATCCCGATGAAGTGGATTTTTTCCTTCCAGCCGCACTATGGCTGTGGGGGTCGTCTCAGCCTCTAACAGAAATGAGTACTAGGAATATTCCTGGAGGTAGAGGGAGGCCGGCGCGTAAGGCTGACAACCTCACCGCAATCTGTGAGCCGATCGTTCAGAAAGTGTGGGAGCCTCAACATCTCACAACCCTATAGGCCTCCAAGGCCTGCTGCAGGGACAGCTTTACTTTTACTTAGAATTCCATGAGATGGGAAATATTTCATACAAAAGACGTGGCACTCGGAGAACACACGTTATGTTAAATTCATGTACGTATCACGACGAATCTCTAGCAAGAAAACTAGTGCCTAAGAATTTAAATTAACTTCTAAATGTGAAAAAAAAAAAATCTAAGCAGGCGGGATTTTTCGTACGTGGCTACCATGAGCTCTCCTGTTCTAGCGAATGGACAAAGAACGGAAGAAAGTCGTGTGTGTGACTGGCATTATGGAGAATTCTCTGTTTCCCTGTCCAAAGCTGAAAATTCAATAACGACCTTCATAAATCCCGAAGGTTTGATAATACACAGGAATGTGCACTGTTGCAGCACCTCAATACAGGAAAGATTTGACGGGCTTGCTACTCTATAGGAAATTAAAGAAGGCTTTAATTAATAGAGCATCACAATATGAAGACGTATGGGGAATGGAGCTATAGATCCACATTATCTTGACTTCGGCACTAGTTGGATATGAGCGGTCAGCTTCACGCTCCGACCGCTTTACCCCCGGGGAAAGAGCCCCAGGTACCCATTAGATAAGTGGTTGGGTGGACCCCAGAGCCGGTCTGGACGATTTGGAGAAGAGAAAGTTCTTGACCCTACCGGGACTCGAACTCCGACCCCTCAGTCGTCCAGCCCGTAGCCATTCCCTATACCGACTCCGCTACCCCGGGTCCTCCTTGCTACTCTATAGGAAATTTAAAAGTGCTTTAATTAATTGAGCATCACAATATGAATACGTATGGGGAGTGGAGGTATAGCGCCACAATTCTTAACCTGGGCCCTAGATGGGAGTGGTAATGCCTGTGCCGTTTTAACCACGTGAAACAACCCCCGCTCTTCGTTGTATAAGTGTCTGGGTGAGCCTCGGTTTGGATGTTATGAAGAAGAAAAATCTCTTACCCCTGCCAGGAATCGAAGCCCTACTCCTCGACAGTCCAGCCGGTAGCTTAATCGTTATACCGACTGAACTATCCTGGCTCACTTTCCTCTACAGACTACAGAATAATCTGAGTCGGTATTGCGGTTGCCTACACACATAGTTCAAATGCATGTCTATTCGTTCAACATTTGACAGTGCTGAGAAGATTCATAATTAAATTAAACAGCTTCGGCAACATGATAAATACTTCACTGAAAAGCTGACAATTTATGGCGGCATTAAATAAAAATTACGGTCACGGTAGCCGAGCGGTCTAAGGCATGTACTGTCTTCGCTCGCTTGGAAACCGGATCGTGGGTTCGAATCCCACTCAGTGCATGGATGTTTGTGTGCGTTTTTCTGTGTTTGTGTACAGGTAGAGGCCTTGCTACGAGCTGATCACCCGCTCAAGGAGTCCTACCGAATGTGTAAGATCTAGAAAAACCGAAGTGAACGGAGAAGTTCATGGAGGTAGACCTAGGCCCACTGGGGCTGTAGTGCCAAGGAAAAAAAAAATTAAATAAAAATATGTATAACGTAGCCTGTATGTGTTATGTTGTTACAGTCTGTGCAAGCATTAATTTGGTTTCTCAGACTATTACGAGTGATAGCACAGTTTATATAAATTTGCTTGTTAATAGTCGCATGACTAAACAAAGGAACAGAAACTATGTAAATAAACTAAAATCTGTTTGGTGCCTGCTCTGTGGGCATTTGTTTACCTGCCTACGATTGCAATCTTCTCGTCCTTGGTAGCCATCTCGGTTTGCACTCAACTCTCGCCACCGACAGATCACAAGAGACCAGCTCGAGACTTAGTACAGACCTTAACTGCTTGCAGTCGCCGTATAACACGCTATAACACGTTTTCACTTTTACATAACATGTTTAAGATAACAGCGAACTGTTAATACCCCTGACGACAGTTGTCTAGCGCGGAGGAGAGACAGGAACGAAGATAATTGCTTTTATTCAAGTAGTAGTGAACTGGCCTTGAGTGACACGACGGGGAAGCGGGAAACGCCGACGATAGCCCAACTTGCTACTAACTTTGGAGTTTATGTAGTACGGGGTTTTTATAATAGAGTGCACTTGGCTATTTAAATGGGACCCGGATGATGCTTGTAAAACGCGGAAATGCTTGGTTCGGTGAATTGTTTCTCATTGTTATATTAGTTAATGAAATGAACCCGCAGGTCCTTACCACGAGATCACGGTTTACAGGATTCCCATTAATACAGAAAAATGCTGAAGGCGTTACACTTCCAGGGTTGGATTTAAAATCAGGAGATCGTCTAGGACCTGGACGCCGGATTCGTATTCAAGTAAAAAGTAAAGGTATCCTTGTACCAGGCCGTGGAGGCCCATAGGGTTGTGAGTTGTTGTGGTTCCCACATTTTCTAGACAAATTGGCTCATAGATGGCGGTAAGGTTGTCAAGCCCTACGAGCCGGCCGCCCTTTACCCCCCTAGGAATATTCCTGGTGCTCATTTCTGCTCGAGGCTGAGTCGACCCCATGGCCATAGTGCGGCTGGAAGGATTAAGTAAACTGAAAAAATCCACCTCATCTAGATTCGATCCCGCGACCTTTCGGCTTGTAGAATAGTGCCTCAACCAACTACACTACATCGTGCCCCTTAAGTAGGGATGTAAAAAAGTAAAATTGTCCATGTGATTAACTAATTAAGCACTACGCCATGAAGGCGTATGGGGGAGTTAATGTATAGATCCACATTTTCTTGACCTCGGCACAAGTTACAGGTGAGTGGTCAGCTTCACGTCCCTGCCGCTTTACAACCGGGGAAAGAGCCCCCGGTACCCACTGGATAGGAGGCTGGGTGGGCCCCAGAGCCGGTTTGGATGACGTGGAGAAGAGAAAATTCTTGAACTTACCGGTACTCGAACTCCGACCCCTCGGTCGTTCAGCCCGTAGCCAGTCACTATACCGACTACGCTATCAGTAGGAATGTTAGGACCCATTTTTATCTTTGCTACGTCAATAACTGGTTTGATACCTAAACAGTCCCATCTTCATCTAGTGACAAATACTTCAAATTGAGATAGAGGCAGCCGGAGCGTGAGAGACTAGCTCTTTCTAACTGGCCCAACTGAGTAGGTTTATCCTTCCCTACCCACCTGAAGACGGAGACAGATCCAGTCTCCGAAACGTCGTGGTCTTTTGTCTTTTACATACTAGACGATGGATGAAGTCCAAAATAAGCCAAAAGAAGTACATGTGTAAATTGGGCTTTGTTACGGATTACTGTGGCTGAAAATCAGAATTGCAAATTCCTAGGAATACAGAGGTACTTTTCTCTCTCTCTCTCTCTCTCTCTGTGTGGCTCTATAGCCCTTTGGTCCTTGGCACTTTTTCATTTCCTTAATCGTATACACAATCGGTAGGACTCCTTGGACGGGGTATCAGCCCGTCCCAATGCCGCTATCTACACACAAAACAACACAAACACAGAATAAACGCACACATAAACCCATGCCTCTAGTGGGATTCGAACCCACGACCCCAGTGTTCGAGCGGAAAAAGACGATTCATGCCTTAGACCTCACCCCCACTTAAAACAGCATAGAAATACTATCATCGTAAATTAATTTCACAGAATTTGGTACGATTAATGGTAATGTTAATTGAAACAATGAGGAAAATGTCACACCTTCCACAAGCTTGATACCATTGCACGTGATAACGAAAGCGCTACTGATAGTGTGCGTAAAACTTGTTCTGAACGTTGGTAAAATTATAGTATCAGGAATAAGTACTCAAAGTACAACCATCAAAACTAGCGAAAGAAGCTTTGCTCAACAGAAACATAACCAATTATTCAGCCGGACACACAGTAAATTCCCAAAACACAGTGGCTAGACAGTCTTCTGGTAATGAAAGTTTTCTTGCCAAATTTCGTAATGAACACTGTAACTGCAGTCAGCATGTGGGTGAATTCACAATGTCAAGTTCGGTTTCTGTAATGACAACCATCAGGATTGACGGGACGACTGCGGGGCAGCTTGGTCAAGAAGACCTTTCAAATCATGCGTCCCAAGATGCAGTAACGAACAGCTATTCCAGAGACATGTTTCTGGCTGATAATGGAAATCACGTACATGATCGTAACGAAACCAGTTCGTCAGCTGCAGTCAATTCGAATGGGTTTACGAAGGAAAATAGAACATCCGCAAGGACATTTACTGAAAAATATAGTTCTTCTCTACGGGGATCCCAAAATTTGGCTGTGAATGTATTTTCCAAAGATAACTAACTTGGAACAGAACAATTTATGTAAAATTAATACTCTGTCAAATTCGCTTACTAAGACGGCAACGGTTTCACCTATGAGCAGATGGAAGAACTAAGAGCTAGAAACAAAATATCACCCAAACACAGAGACGATGAAATGAACTAGATTTCAGTGCATAATGCTCTATGGGATTCACTTTCTCAAGCAGCTGCACTCACTGGTTAGTCAGTCTTCTTGAATAAAACCAGCAGCAATGTCATTCCACGAGAAGTGAACAGAAACCTTCAGGAAGTTGTGAGATTGTAAAGGTAAAAAGTAAAGTTGTCCCTGTGCTTAACTAATGAAGCACTACACCATGAAGACGTATGGGGACATGGATGTATAGGTCCACATTTTCTTGACCTCGGCACTAGTTGGAGGTGAGTGGTCAGCTTCACACCCCTGTGGCTTTACCCCCAGGGAAAAAGCCCCCGGTACCCATTGGATAGGAGGTTGGGTGGACCCCAGAGCCAGTCTGGACTACTTGGAGAAGAGAAAATTCTTGCCCCCACCGTGACTCGATCTCCGACCCCTCGTGGATTGTACACAATGGAAACTGGCGCTATGTTCTACCTCATCCTCCATGGGCGATGTTTATTTTGAAAAACTTATCGATATTTCGCTTTGGTAATCTTAGCGAGTCGTCTTCCAGATCTGGAGAGGTAATATTCCATGAGCTTCTTAAAAATTCCACCAACGAACCTCTGCTAAATCTTACTGTTGATCTTCAATGTTGGCGAAGGAACTGGTAATCAGCTTTAATATATCTTCTTTTAGTAAGCGATCATCCATGATTAGAGCCCAGCGTCAGAATTTTTCCAGCGACAACCCATCAGAAACTTCCTATGTGGAATAATGCAGTATAAAAAACAACATGAAAATCCAATTAACAATGCCAATCAGCAGGTTTCTCGTGATAGCGAGTTTTAACTGTTCAGCGTAGATAATTTCGACTTTTGCATCTGTATGTAAAGACTGTCAGTCCTCTTCCAGTGCGGCAGTATTCACCCAGCAATCATAATCACCTCGTGAAACAAAGAGCTTTAAATGATATTATCAAGACAACGCCCTTAGAACTGCATTTCGAGACAATTTATGCAACTGAATACAATAAATTATCAACCTCCAAGAAATAACACTTGAATTTTTCTATTAACGCCAATTTCTTAATCAAATTAAGCATAATTTTTAATTAATGCTTCCCCAATATGAGAAAATACAATTAAATAACTTACACCTGATGATGGCCTTGGGTGACGGAAAGGAATTGAGAACAAATAAGTAAATGTAGCGTGACAGTGAAGGACAGTAAGACAACTATCGAGTGTTAATGTAAATTGCAGAAAAAGAGGTAACAGAATTAAATAATTAATGCCACAGACTGCTGAAACATAATATTATGTATGTAGCCTGCTTGCAAACCTCTGGCTTTGACCACCTAAAATCGCTCCCAAGAGAAAGTTTATCAGGCAAACTGTCTGTTAAGCAGAAAGTGGAATGAATGTCTAAGCAAGAGAAATACCTTTTCAATTCTATGAATATCATAGAGCTTTTATAGCTCTAAGCGCTGGTGATGTGAAGTACGTTGAATAATCAAAACAATTATCTGTGTAGGCCTGTCTATCTATTATATCATGTTAATATAAAATGGAGAAAGTTTGTGGATCAAGTAATGCCTATTTACATTTTAAAGACTGTAAAATGAAAAATACCTGACATTAATAAAACGAAAATTCGCAGGTTAAGCAATTGAGGCATGAAACTGACTTTTCGCTCGCAGTTCAATACCAAGTTGTATAACGGGTAGAATTTAATCTTTGCATTCCCTGTATGTTTTCAAGGTGTGGTTCAACTGTACAGGAGTAAATTGTTTAAAATATATGAACGCTGGCAAAGGAAATTATTTCAATTGTCGGATCCGAGGTTTTTACTGTGGCTTAGCCTCCCAGTTCGTGACAGGCGCAGTGACCAATTGCAAGCCTAAAATGGGGACAGTAGGTTACTTGGAAACGCCATTGCTTATCGTTTAAACTACGCAGCATAATATCACAGAATACCATAACTTTAATGCTCACATACGTAAGAGCCTCAAAACACATAAATGTGGTTCGCCTCCAGTTCCGCGTGTTCCAGTTCCTTAAACTGAAAGTTCGTGGTTGTAATATTCCTTCCTTTTCATGCAATAAAATTTGTAAAAAGTAAATTATGCTTACAGATAATAAACCCAAAATCTTACTAAATTTTTTTTAGGTTATTGTTCCAGTATCTTCCTCTTATCGTAACACTCAAAACCTCCTATTGATCTAATTCCTTCTTTTCAACACTACATTTTCCCCTCATCGAACAATGGAGCGCAGTTCTGCTGCACTTAGAAAACGACGTGTTACGTCACGACCCTGCCATCAGAGCTTCGTTTGTGATAACAAGGTGCTTTACGGTCAATGACATTTATGTACGAGATGATCTAAGTGCGCTATTCTTTAACTTCTTGGAGGCTTGTAGGGGAAGTGGTGGTAATGCTCCCTGGATTCCTAACCTCGGCACGTGGACGTAAGTTGTCAGTTACATCATTGGGCTACTTCTGACCTTCGAGGACACTATGAGAAGGAGGCAAGGTGAACCTCAGAATCCTCTGGATGTGGCCGTAAAAGGAAAAAGAATAAGGCCCCCACTGAGAACTGAACCCGTTCATGCTCAACCATTCAACCATTCTTTGGGCTTGTAACTGAATGCGAATGTATGTTATACGCGTATTCCTTAACCGAGAATGTTCAGTGCCGACAACTGTGACTGTCGCTTCTTCGGTTACGATACCACATACTGGTGCTGTAAATAAACATATTTAGACGTGCTAGATTATAGACTATTAGCCTATTTGTACTGTATAATGTGAGTCAGAGAAAGCCTTCAGAAAATATGCTAGTGTTTTGCCTGAGAAGCTGTGAGAACCACTGTGCAGTCTTAAGCTAGAGGCTCAAACGCAGAATCACGAAAGATAGCTTATTTAATGATGATGTAATAGCTGATGATGATCAATTTCAATAACATCGAGAGTGGTAGATAGGTATATAACAAACAAACTCCGTGATTTTAGTCCGCAAGCGAAATATACCGACCGAGCGACCGCCGCTTGTCGGCGAAATTAGTGCCAACTTTTGCTGATAGAGGATGTCGCGTGGTCAGCGCAACGAATCCCCACGGCCGTTAATTTAGGTTTTCTAGACCAGAGCCGTTATTTCCTTGAAATAGCTCCTTAATTACCATCACGAGGCTGAGTGAACCCCTTCCAGACCCACCACTTCTCAGAAAAAAATCTGATAGCGCCGGGAATTGAACTCTGACCGCTAGACCACAGAGGCTATCCAGGTAGGCATATAAAAGCGCAAAAACAGATAAGCTGGATGGGTCGGGTCGGAGCCAGTCATTAAAACAAAGCCTGTGTACAAAATAAAGTTGTGTTACGGAGACAGAAGTTGGGACACAGATACGCGTATAGTCACTTTCATATTCGAGTACGTTTTCTAATCATGCTGTGACTTTTCGGTATTCGTGGAACGGAGTTAATAATTGCAGGGTTGATGTGTGGAAGTCGCAGGTACAAAAGGCTGAGCAGATGCGCTTGGAAGTTTGGGTGGCGTTCTGTCTTCTGGGATGTAAACGCCGTGTGGTCCGTTGAACGTCAACCGACTTTTCTGAGGAACACGTCGCCTCTATGTTCAGGGTCGAAAAATAGGCGAAGCAAGAAACTAGCGTGAAGCAGGTAGCAAGCAGAGTTCAACGGACTACACGGTGTTATATCCCAGAAGACAGAACTGGTCATAACCACAGCTGTGAGAACCTTAAAACCTAGAAATTTGGTTGGTTAGGCGGAATACTTGTCTGTCGAAAGGCTCGGGATGGTGTATGTTCCGGTAGATTTCGAAGTATAGCAGGAACCCAGGCTACTGTAGCGGCAAATGCTTGCGGATGAGTAAAAGAAACATGCAGTGTATCTAGGTTTAGTACCACGAATTCTCTTTGCGGGAATCCCACGCTGACATCATACAATGCAATGTTTTGCAACTTCCCTGTTCATTCGCTGACGTCATATAGGCCAACACATAGAGACCACAGATTCAGTTTAGTGCACGCCAAGACGAGCTGGACGTTTAACAGGTTTTCAGAAAATGGAAGACTCTGGTTGGTTTACATGTAGGATATCGAAGCAAGATGTATGACAGGTTTTACCTGAGTGATAAGCTGCTGCAGTTACTTGCCAGAATGTCGGAGTTCTCAAAGTTGTGCCCACGGGTAATCTTGACTTAAATTTAATGGGGGTTTTGACCACTGTAGATATTATTGTTTATGTTCTAGAATAGTCATAGCGCTGTTTTCAGCTGTTAGGCGCCAGCATATCTGGAAGCAATTGAGGCGCACTGGTAAACTTGACAAAAGTCAAATGTCACTCACCTGCCGTTGCATTATGTGATTCGACCTGGAGACTAAAATCGAGCATTAGAGTACCAGAGAACACATTTTTTTAGAAAAGGGAGTTCTGGTCTTAGCCACTGGGAATTGAAACTGGAAGGTGCTTTAATCGAGTCTAGCCGGCGATTACGTACCATGCTACAAACCGGAAGGTCGCGGGTTCAAGTCTCGATGAGGTCATTGGATTTCTTTTTCATTTGACTTAATCCTTCGGGCCGCACTATGGCCCTGGGGTCAACTCAGCTTATAACAGAAATGAGTACCAGGAATTAATTAAATAATTTTCCTGGGGAGTAAGGCGCGGCCGGCCCGTAAGGCTGACAACCTTACCGCCATCTGTGAGCCGATTGTCTAGATAATGTGGGACCCTCAACGTCTCACAACCCTATGGGCCTTCACGGCCTGTAACAGGAATAGCTTTACTTACTTTTTTACTCTGTGCACAGCATGACGCATGACTGCAGGGTGGTAATCTCAAAATATCTTTACGGTGTCACAAATTTAGAATTTTTAAATCACAAATTCAACAAAACATTGATTGATACGCTACTTTAGATGCTAGATCCAAGTTACACTGAAAGTGAATTAAATGGCTGGTTTCCATATTTATTGGTTTTTGTTTCTTTAACGACTTTTTTCAACTACATCATTATGTAGCGTCGAATTAAATTGTGACTATGCACAATGGAATTCAAATGATGTGGAAGGAAGCGGATGTGGCCTAATTTAAGGTACTGTCAACATATGCACTTCGAAGGATTGAGAAGGATCATATAAATCCTTGTTCAGGATTTCCAGTTTCTAGGACGACATTTGATCCCGAGACTTCTGAATACGAAGCAGGAATGCTAACCACTTGATAGCGACGTTCACTTAACACATTTTACTGGTTGCCGCCTGATTCTGTTGGCTTCTTACTTGGCTTACTATTCGACACTGAAGACGAGAGCGATACGTTCCTCTGAAACGTCGAGCTCTCGCGGAACCACATGGCGTTACAACGCAGACGACCATACTCTTCATTAATTATTCAGTGATCATTTAACTTGCGACGTAAACAAACATGGGCACATCGCCTATACTCTTTATATCAATGGCCGATTAGTTTTCGAATTTATAGTCTTCCTGGTCTTTTTTTTATTGCTAGTGGGGTGGGACTAAGTCCCTTGTACTGCGGCCACTTCTGGCCTATTGTACCAGCACCAGATGATAGGTGAGGGTGATTGTGGAGCAATTGGTGGAATGAAGATTGGCAGGAGAAACCGAAGTACTCGGAGAAAACCTGCCCCAACGCTACTTTGTCCACCACAAATCCCATTTGACCAGACCCGGGATAGAACCCGGGCCGCCGCGGTGGGAAGCCAGCCACTAACCGCTTGAGCTATGGCGCGGCCTCTTCCTGGTCTTACTCAGTCCCGCTTGACAGATCCCGGGATATTACCTCGATTAGACCATGACCGTTTCCTTCCAAATCCATTCCATTTCATTATTCACCAGCTATGCCACTGTTCTACGCTATGTAGTCTGTAATATTGACACTGTTGTAAAATAAGCCATAGGCCGCGCCATAGCTCAAGCGGTTAGTCGCTGGCTTCCCACCGCGGCGGCCCGGGTTCGATCCCGGGTCTGGTCAAGTGGGATTTGTGGTGGACAAAGTGGCGCTGGGGCAGGTTTTCTCCGAGTACTACGGTTTCCCCTGCCAATATTCATTCCACCAATTGCTCCACAATCACCCTCACCTATCATCTGGGGCTGGTACAATAAGCCAGAAGTGACCGCAGTGCACCCCACTAGCAATAAAAAAAATATGCCGTAAACAAAACCAATACCTTCAGCTTTTCGTCCCCAGTTTGCAGTCTAAAATCAGAGCAAAAGTGACACACGTCCAGTTCTTCACTTTATTTATGCAATGCTTGTCAATGTGAGAAATTTTTGACACCTCATTATATGTCACTGAGAATGTCCTTCACACGAACAGTCATCACAGTATTAAAAAAGCAATTAATTTAAATGTGAAGCTTTTTATGTACGTACTGTTTATTGCATTATTAAACAATTCTTTCTAGCAGAATTTGCAGCGTACAGTTGTACGGTGTGGTAGTTGTAAATCCACTTTCCAGTTTTCTGGTAACTCATGAACAGTTGCAACTGTGCCTGTAAGGTTCAGTATGATGGGGCAACGATTTGGTGAAGGACCAGAAGTGCGTAAGGACCTTCCTTGTTCAATGAGTGAGCAATATACTTACATTGTTTTTAGAATTCAAACCTTACTTAACTCAAATACGTTTCGTAAGTTTGATGTCCGTTTTATCGACCAACAAAAATGTTTTCAAGTTCGCTCACTAACAACACAAATGAAACGCGTAATTTGTGGTTCATATAAGCCGCGGAGGCGTGAGTGGCATGTTTCATCCGCATGCGCGGGAGGGCACGTAGTTTACGTCACGGAAAGTACCCTGACGATTCGAGGTCATCGGGGAAGTACCGCGTATGAAAGTGTTTTAGTGGAGGGGGTTTTGTTGTTTATTGGTAAGTCTGGAGCCGCCAGTACTTCGTATTTGCATGTTTCACTGGTGGCTATTGTGGTGGACAGATAATTCAAAGTTTTGCACTTCGAAGTGCGAGTGGAATACGACCGAAGCAACAGAGAATGTCAACCTCGGCATCCACAGTTTTTAATTTAGGGGCTATTATTAATCCCTACAGTACAAATTACGAAAGGGATAGAATCGGTAATTTGCTGTTTACCATTCTAAATTAGATTGAATGATAATTCAAATTAACTGTTAAGGAACTCCAGGTCTACATAACCTCAAATATAGTGTTCAGTTAATGGAGATGTGGGAACTGCCCAAATTCAAGCAAATGTGACTACTCAAATATCGTTGCTTAGTTGTGGACAGTTGCCACAAAGAATTATATTAATGTTTGTTAGGTTAATTTTGTTGCATAATCCCAACATTTTGTTTTCAGGAATGATGAACTCTAGCCCCAGCCCAGGTTCATACTCTCAAAGTTCTATGGATTCGCAGGATTCATCAAGCAACATGTCAGCTCTGTCACCCATGTCGGTGACTCTGTCACCACGATCATATCAGAATATTTTGGTCCTCAGTCCAGAGCAAGTTGGTGTTGGTGCGTCTCAACTGTGTTTTTGTAATGCTAGATTATGGGAATGTAATTTCTGTGTAACCAAACTACTGGAGGTAGGTTAGGATTGTAAGCCTTTTAACAACTCTGCTGTTTGTTTATTCAGTTTCACCGCTCTTCATTCATAAACAAAATTGTTTCAATTAAATGTGGAATTATGGAGTGCTGGGAAGAACTTTTTAAATGCTCCAGACAGGTGTGTTGGCCTTCCCAGCACGTAGCACACACTCACTCAATAGACTAATTATGAAGGAATTTGTGTTGCGTTTCTGGTTTTATAACCAAAGATAATGTAAAATAATTGAACTCCAAAAGTAAACTGACAGTAGTCGCCAAATTCAAGTTTCTTACAGAGAAGTATAGAAGTTTTATATGCCAACATGTACAGCAGGTAGCAGATGGTGAATAATATATAAAGGCTATTTAGAAAGCAATAAAATTAGTGTATGTATTGCACTGTGGTGATTATTTAGATCATCACCCATTCATTTTCAGAGTAGTCACATCGGTTTGAAGTCCACTCATCCCATAGCTAGACACATGATTATAAGTATAAGTGGTGTATAATATGGGTTATAGCATGTTTAATGATGTAGAGCAGCTGGCGGAATGAGAATTGTTAGGGAAAACTGAAGTACTCAGAGAAAACTTTGCTGCATGCCACTTTGTCCAACACAATTTCCAGATGACCCAACTCAGGATCAAACCTAGGCTGCCACAGTGGGAAGCTGATGACTAACCACCTGAGCTATGGCATGCCTCATGCACCTGATGTATTTCTTCAATTACTTGTATGGGAAAGGGAGAAAAGTTGCAAGGTGCCTAATCCGGATTGTAGAGAAGAAGATATAATACATTTTCTGCAGAATATCTTAAATCAAATGTGACTCATATAGGCATGCATCATCATCTGCCTGTTGTTTCTGCGGTCCTTTCCAGTGTAAATGTTATGTGTAAAATGTGTCTATAGTATGGACCAGTGATGGTGAAAGGGTGTGACCTACATGTGGATACAGGATGTTAAATTGGTTGAGAAAGATTGTCTTCATTCCACTCGAGACAGAGATGGGGAGTCTAAGAACTGTGAGTCTTCCATTCGCTGCTTTGTGATATTTGGTAACGGAATTGTGGTAAAATAAAATTTGTCAGTGGTAGTGATGTGAAAAAATGCATTACTCGAGTGCTTCAAAATGGCATATAAGTTCTTATCATGCAGCGTCCTGGTACACCATTTGGTCAGTCTTCAACAACCTGGTTTCAGCATCAGCACACTTCTTTCATGTCAGAGACAGTACACAAGATTAGATGTGCACTGCCTGTAAAGTTTGATATGATGTCTGCAAGTTCATGAACAGTCATATGACAGTTTTCTTTAACATAATGGCAGCTTTGTTCCCTAAAATTTTGTTTTACAGAGGTCACAAGTTGTATTTGATGTTCGTTCACTGTGGTTTCCCTGCCACTAAAAATGTGTGTATTCTGTGATATAGATAGAATTAACATATCTGCCTTTCATTCATGTTTACTCGCAACTGATGATACCAGCAATCAGGGGTCTCTTTAATACCTGACTGTGTACAAGGTGGTTTAATGAATTTCTAATTTGTTTACATTTTGTATGGAACAGGAAGGTATTTTCAAAACCCTTAGAGAAATGTTGTAGGTTGTCAGAAGTGGAGGACCTTGTGTCATTGGCCCTGTCTGTATCTCAGTTTTCCAAAGAGGTTACATGCACTTGCTTATGATAGTAGTTATCATGCCATCTTGCAAGTCTGTTTTGTTGTCACTTGGGCAAAGAGATCCTGTCCATTTGAGATTTTGTGGAATGCTATGTGTATTTGTCTCTACTGTTTCCCTGAACATTCATATTCTCCCTCTGATGACAGGTTTTCAGCTACACTGCAAGAAAAGCATGTGTTAATGTTCTATTTTTTATGTGTGCGAGATTAAATAAGACTGTGCAATGTATATGTGTGTTTGTTTTGTATGATAGGTCTGTAATATGAATATGTTTTAAAATGTATTGGAAATCCCGTTTTCATGATAGGCAGTCAAAGAGAAGTTACCATGCGTTGGTGATATGTGTAGTATATCATCAGTAAGCCTAGAGGTGAAAGTGTATTAGTGCAAATATAGAACTAACTATATGGAGTCCAGAATAATTTCGGGGACAGTGTTACAACAGTGGAATATAATATAATTTTATTGCTGGTACTAAACAGATTTTGTACTTGAAAATAAGTGAATGAAGAAGTGTTAAAACAGCATTTAAAGACAGTTTTGAAATTATTCTGTCTCACATATATCTTTGTTACTGTAATTGTCAAAGAATCTAGAAGAAAGACATGAGAAGTGTAGTTGGTCTGACTTGGTAAGTGGTAGAAACAGTAGAGTAATATGCATGGGATGATACAAGTTGAAAAATATGTAGAAGAAATGGATCTGGCCTGCATAAGGTACTATCCTGGCATTTGCATCGAGAAACTCTTTCGAAATGGACAGTTCTTTGGCTGCAGTTCAAATGAAGTAACCTCAGGCAATTTTTCATATGTGGTTTCCATTCTCCTAGCCCTCCTGGTAACTAAAACTCACTAGAAGTTGAACTGAACCTTTGTTACTGTTAGCTGTGGAAGCCGCTAGTTGCAGACACAGTATTTAAAATCCCTCATCTCTGTCTGCAGTTTCTGTATTACCTTACCTGCGTATTACTGAAGAGCCAGTGGAGAAGTTTCGATTCCGCTACAAATCTGAAATGATGGGAACACATGACAGTATCCTTGGGCGCAGTTCTGACAAGAACAGGAAGAAAACTTACCCAACTGTTCAGGTGAACTTACTGAATCACTGCTAATAGAAAGTGAATATTAAAACCAGATGTTGGACACAATCCAAGGGCATTCCAGCCTAGTACACATCTTCAAAGCTGTTATGTTGGCAACTCTCAAATACTGAAATATAATGTTAGAGTTGGCAACATCATAGCAAAGAATTTAAGAACTTTAATGGGAACACATGACAGTATCCTTGGGCGCAGTTCTGACAAGAACAGGAAGAAAACTTACCCAACTGTTCAGGTGAACTTACTGAATCACTGCTAATAGAAAGTGAATATTAAAACCAGATGTTGGACACAATCCAAGGGCATTCCAGCCTAGTACACATCTTCAAAGCTGTTATGTTGGCAACTCTCAAATACTGAAATATAATGTTAGAGTTGGCAACATCATAGCAAAGAATTTAAGAACTTTAATGGGAACACATGACAGTATCCTTGGGCGCAGTTCTGACAAGAACAGGAAGAAAACTTACCTGACTGTTCAGGTGAACTTACTGAATCACTGCTAATAGAAAGTGAATATTAAAACCAGATGTTGGACACAATCCAAGGGCATTCCAGCCTAGTACACATCTTCAAAGCTGTTATGTTGGCAACTCTCAAATACTGAAATATAATGTTAGAGTTGGCAACATCATAGCAAAGAATTTAAGAACTTTAATGGGAACACATGACAGTATCCTTGGGCGCAGTTCTGACAAGAACAGGAAGAAAACTTACCTGACTGTTCAGGTGAACTTACTGAATCACTGCTAATAGAAAGTGAATATTAAAACCAGATGTTGGACACAATCCAAGGGCATTCCAGCCTAGTACACATCCTCAAAACTTCTCTGACATCCATTTCAGTATTATTCTTATACATATTCAGTTTTAAAAGTAGTGCTTTCCATGCCAAATTTTATATGAAGTTTTTGTTTCTCCACCTGAATTCTGTCTCTCTGCCTTAGAAATCCTGATATGGCAATTGTAGCAATACTAGGTAACCTGTATAATTCCTACATTCGTAAGTAAGCTTTTTTTTTTTACTAACTTCAGTCGTATTAACTAATCATCCTATAAATATTATGATTTTTATTACATTTTGCACAGCGAGTGTACACAGTCCTGATGAAATTGTTGATGGTAAATTATGGATGAGATAGTGTGAAATATCATATGCACAGTTGTATCTCCCAACAGGTTAAGAAAGTAACCATTCAAAATAATAATTTTTGTTTTCAGCTGTGTAATTATGATGGTCCAGCAATCATCAGATGCTCACTGTACACAACGCACCAAGTGAAATCTCAGAGAACACCACATACTCACCGCCTGGTTGTCAGGTCGGACAATGAAGACAAGGATGATCCACATGAGCTTCCTGTGTCACCTGAACTTGGCTATTCTGTGGTGTAGGTGCAGTCTGTCTTCTGCTTGCCCTCCAAAATACTGAATTTAAAAAAAAAAATTGGAATGTAAGGGATGTAACACTGGATTTATTCAGTGGATGAAAAGGGAGACAGAAAATTTTTGTAAATCCTGTCCATGCTACACAAGTCACTTTTGAATAAAAGTTACCATTGCAGTTTTATCACAAATTATCTGTAACTTGAGCTTAACCTGCAGCACTCTCTGAGTGCAGACCTGTGCTTACTATGCAGAATACCTTGGAAATAGGAAACAGCGTATTTGAGCACTGAATTGAGAAAAGCTTAAGTGTAAGGATCATAACGGAGAGGTTACTTGTTGAGGAAATACACAAACTGAATTCTTTCATGGTGTGTTGATTCATGCGAGTAAAATTTTGAATAGCAGTTACCACTTAGGTCCATCCTTCCATGTTTCTAATTTCAAGACATTATTCGAAACCCTTCATTATCACATTGGAACCTTTCCCACTTGTACCATCCAGCAGTATTCTACCTGTCACAATGGCTTACTTCCCTTTACATTTCTAATTCTTTTGCTCTCTCAGTCTGTCCCTCTGAAGGAAGACTTTGAACTGAGGACAAGTACATGGTCATATGTTAAAAAGTAGCATATAAGACCTTCATGAGGGGGCCAGAGTGTCCTGAGTGTCAGAACTCTCAGATTTAAGGTGGCTCATTTGTAAATACTTCTGCAAACCTTCTTCACACTGTAATGTTAAACTGTAGTTCTGTAATTTTATATTGTACACATTCTTTTTTGTAATTGGGAGGGGGGCAGGCATTCACAATGAAAAGTTGCAAAAAAAATGCACTTGTTCGAGTTGCCTCTGTCTGTCTGTCTGTCTCCATGTAACACGCAGAGGACCACTGGACAGCCTTCCATGAAATTTTATAGGGTGGAGTTACCAGACAGTTTTTCTAGCACTTTTCTTGCTTCAAATATGATAGTCATAATGGACACTTTACATGCATTTTCTGCATTAGTCTAACCTTACCGCCATCTTTGAGCCGATTGTCTAGATAATGTGGGACCCTCAACGTCTCACAACCCTATGGGCCTTCATGGCCTGTTACAGTTATAGCTTTACTTTTTACTTTCTGCGCTTGAGTATAACTCCCAAAATATTCATCAGAGCAAAAAAATATTTTAAGTGAAAGTTGTAGAGAAAATCCAACATGTTTTGTGCATAATACAGATTTCCTCTAAGTCGTATGGTTTTCAAGGTACTTATAGTCAAAAGGAAAGGATTTTTATACTGTGTCATTTCAGAATTCATGAACTGTTGCAGCTGATTTTGATAACATTTTATGTTGGAGTTCTTTTTGCAAATTTTCCAGAATAAATATGCCTAATATTATTGTACCTCTGCCTCAGTCATCTGAGTAGCAGATTTTCTATTCAAAATTTTGTAATAATTTTTTGTTTCCCCACAATCTATGTGTCCAGCTAGTCTCATTCTGCACTTATTCACTGCAACAATACAAAGTGAGGCATGAAAACTGTGAAGGACAGCGTTATGGAAGTTCCTTAATTCATCCTTTACTTTCTTGTTCAGAAATTATCTTCACCACTATGATCTTACCGCAGTATCTCTTATTCCCTCAGTAGTGCATTATGAAGTTGGCCACAAACAGAACTTCATTTTTCTTTGTCCGTCTTATATTAATATATCCATTTCTCTGTAATTTTTTAGATTTGCAGGGATGGGTATCATCCATACAGCAAAGAGACACATCATAGATGAGTTGATAAAGAAGAAGAAGTTGCGTCATTTGGAAATGTTGAGATCACGTAATGTGAATATTACAAGCCTTTCAACCCGGGATGAAATAAATGTAAGTTGTTTTTAGACATGTTATTCTGGGCTAATTCTTTGTGTGTCCATGGATTGCTTTGCGTGGGCTTGTCAGTTCATCTCAGCCGCATGCACATTTTTGGGCAGAATTCATTCTTTTCTTCACCTGATGCTGTACAGATGCATTATCCAGCAATGCCAAGGGTGCAAACAGTTTTTCAGTCTAATTTCTCATTACCAGATTACCAGGGGTGACATTTAGACCTGTGCAGGCTGTGATTAGAAATTCTCTTTTATGGAACTTCAGGCTTCACCTCCAAGTTTACTAAATTCACACATTTGCATCCAATCTGGAACCATTTAATTGAACTGAGCAAGGTGGCTCAAGAAGTAATTTATGCTTCTGACTTGAATTTGGTGGGGTATGCAGTTTGAATTGTAGTTGTAACACTGTTGTGACAGGTGTTTCATGGTTTCTCTCAGTCCCTCTGGACAGATGTTATGGTAGTACCTAAAATTAAGCAATCAGCAGCTTTCTTTTACGTCCTTCCCAATTTGTCATTCTATAATCATCCTGTCATTTGATGCTATATTTTCTGAGCTACTGATGGCAAAATTCCATGCGAGCACATGCATGCGCGCACACAATGCTAGTTAATCCATTTTTTATTTTTACTGTATATTCCTTTCAAATCCATTTTAATTTCCTTTTATGTATGTATAGCTCTCACATGAAGGTCCCTTGCATTGGAAAATTTTGTGTTCATTGTTTCCATGTGAATGTTACATATCTGCCCATTTCATCGTTAATTTTATCATCCCTGACAGTGATAAAAGATGAAAGAAAATTTGTAACTTTCCATGATTCCCTTCTGTCTTGTTCAATATTCTGTTCTCATATACAGACTGCATTTCAAATACTAACCAAGACTTTCACACAAGTGCGAAAATAAGCAAAAGATCCCAAAGAAGTGGTTGAGGCTGTAGCACAACTTTGCACATGATTTGGCTTTATTAATTCGGGTTGTTACTCACATATCCTGAAGTGCATGAGTTCTGTTCCACGTTGTGTACAGAAGAGCCAAAGGAAATGCTGATACGTGGTGCAATCCAAAAGTTCCCGAAATATGTTAATAAAAACTACTACGTCTTACCTGGATCTTATTCTGCACCATCACCTTCAAAGTAGTTCCCTTGGGAGCGCATACACCGATCTCAGCGTTTCTGCCACTTTTGAAATACATCCTGGAAGTCTTTCTTTGTTAGGGTGTTTAGTTCCGTCTGCTTTTCTGCTTGAATTTCCTCAACTGTATCAAATCTTCGCCCCTTCAACTTGATTTTCATCTTGGGGAAGAGAAAGAAGTCGCATGGAGCTAAGTCTGGCGAGTACAGTGGGTGGGGAACAACTGCCATCTTGTTTTTAGCCAAAAATTCCTGCACAATGTAAGCCATATGCAGTCGTGCGTCGTCATGGTGGAGTACCCAGTCGTTCGTGCGCCACTTCTCTGGACGTTTTCTCCTCATGTTCACGCCCTAGAACATCGCGATAGAACTCTTTATTGACTGTCTGACCAGGAGGGATGAACTCCTTATGAACAATCCCGTCAATATAAAAAAGCAGATCAACATGGACTTAATGTTGCTCTTGACTTGTTGAGCTTTTTTGGCCGAGGTGAAGAAGGGCTCTTCCATTGCGACGATTTCTGCTTACTTTCAGGGTCGTAGCCATAAACCCAACTTTCGTCACCAGCGACAACCTTCGAAAGAAAGTCTGGATCCTCTTGAAGCTGTTGTTGAAGTTCCCTGCAGACTTCCAAGCGATGCTGCTTCTGTTCATTTTGCAGCAGTTGTGGCACAAACTTTGCCGCAATCTTCATGTTCAGTTCTTCTGGCAAAATTCGTTGACATGTACCATAACTGAGTCCCAAGGTGTTACAGAGGTCTTGGATGGTCAGTCTACGATCTTGCAGAATCAGATACCTAACTTTCACAATATTTTCTGGTGTGGTGCCAGTTGATGGCCATCCCAAACGATTGTCATCATCATTCGATATTTAAAACAAAACTTTATATAGACATGCTGCTCTCTCAGGTCAGCCATCGCAAAACCACAAAAAAAAACGGAAACACAACCCTTGGAAATACGTTCACCAACAATAAACCCAACCACTCAACTCGATGCCGCTTGCCACACTGATTCAAGAAGGGTGTGTGGGGAGACACCTGGCAGTATTTCGATGTACTCATATCCATTCGCGCACAAAATTCAAATTTTGGGAACTTTTGGATTGCACCACGTATCTTTTCTCAATGTTTCAGATCCGTGCTGAAGCTGAAGCAGAAGCTAAGAAGATGAACCTGAACAGTGTGTGCCTGTGTTTTGAGGCTTTTGTCAGGGAGAATGGAGTTATGCAGCCCATTTGCTTGCCAGTGTTCTCATCGCCCATCAACAACATGAGTGAGTTTTCTTCATATGATGACTGGAATGCATGTTAATAGTAATCTTTAAAGAAATCAAATACCAGACCTGTGTTTAAGTTGAATACATAAATTTGTTGAAAACAAGATTGTAAAATTACAAAATGTGCACTTTATAACTTCATTTGGCAGAAGCAGTTGTAAATTACATGCTAACTCCATGCTCATGTATTTATTCTCATGAACTCAGGTATTTTAAATGTTTATTTAGGTAAGCTGTAAAAAGAATATATACTTTTATGTAAAATTATGTTTTAATTATGTGTATGTATTTATGCTTGTTGATATATAAATTTAGATAGAGGAATTCACTGTTTGTTATTTGGTAATGTTTGTATATGTTTCAAGATCATTGTTGGTGACTGTACAAATTAGGAAATTTGTATATAATGTAACAGTTCTTTTCAAATTATATAATATAGCAGTGAAGCTAATTTCTGTAGTTAGTTTTTGTGTTACATAACGTAACACAACCTATGTATTTGCTAGTCGTACCAAATTCTAAGTGCCTGACATAATGTCATCAAATGAAAAATACTCCAACATGATCACTGTGTTTTTATTTTACATTTTTGATAAATAACCTTCACCAAATCTGCATATGTTAAGAAATCTACTGTTGTAGAACTTCTTTCTCTAGAATTGTACTAACAGTGATTCTTCCTCAGCAGTGAACATGTTATGATGCTGGCATCTTTAAGGGGATTTTGATAGCTATGAACATTATGACCTTCCATTTGACTTGCAAAGCAAGTCACTTTGCTAATAAGGTTTTCATCTGTGATCAATTTCTGGTGGTAGTAAGGTTTGACCAAGTATTTCAGATGTGTAGGTGTGGTAGCGTGAGCACTTTAACATACTTCTTAGGTACAAAAATATTGTAGTAGTAGAGTTACTGAGGTTATGGACATTATTCATCATCCCATTTTTTATTTAAAAACTTTTCACAGTTGGGCCCAACTGTGTAGGCCAATTACCTGAATGTGCAGGCACAGTCCAGTCTTCAGAACGTTTTAAATAAAGAAATGGAATGATGGATAATGTCCAAGAAGTCAGTTATTATATTAATATACCACTGCCACAAACTTTTATCTTATTGTAGTTGTCTTTAATTCCCTTTCCCCCGCCCCTCCAGCATTCCCTGTGGGGGAGAGGGTATGTCTTTACAGCACCTAAATGTGTGCTGCTTTTGCTGTCGTCATGTTTCACCATGTGCTGTTTATCAGCATGTGACTGTAGCTATATTAATGAAGTTAAACAATATTTTTCCTTGTGTGTATTCATTCATTCATCAGTAATCAGTCAGACGACAGGTCCACAGTCTCTTCCAAAACAGTTCCTCCACTTAATGCGATCTTCTGTTTTTGGAAAGAGACTGTCCAGGAAAAGTGATAATGTGGTAGTTCTTCCATTTGCTTTCCACATCACAATACAACAGCCATTCAAACCACTCTGGTCACGCCTGTTGCTGTACGAACTTGAACCATCTCGAGCATCATTTGCTCTGTGCTTCAAGTCGCTGCTGATGACGCTGCTTGCAGCATCAGTTTTTGGTCTCTCTCTTCGTCTGATGCCTACCCTTTGACCTGTCCAGCAAGGGAGGCCCTGCCAGTAGCTACGCTACCGCTGGTAGAGCTCTCAGGGTCCTTGGCATACTCAAACCCCCCCACCACGATAAGGTGGTGACACCAACGAGGGGGGTATGTATATATCTCTCCAAAAACAAATTCAGCAACAAATTAGGCTGGGTAGGTTACATTATAGTATTATATTCTATCACATCATGTCATATTTGTTTAGGTTGTATTGTTTAGATTATTTTAATAATTGCATATAATAATTTCTGTTATGTTTTTATTTTGTCTGTTAAGCATGAGTAAAGTACAAATATTTGCAGAAGTATAGCTGTAGATGACATGGGTGAATAATAAAAGAGGTCAAGTACTAGTTCATATTGTAGAAGTGTCCTGTAAGGAAGTTATAATACCACCTTCAACTTCCAAGAAGTCCCAAGAAGAATGTATGTTTACACCAAAGCTACAATTTTTGCCCTCAATCTTGAAATACGTAATGCACCTCGATTCAGGTTTAGTAAAGTAGAACATTCAGAATAGCCAAAATTACTTCCAGATGTGCAGTTAATAGAAAACTATCACTCTTCCTCCTGACACACAGTTACAGTCCCACAAAGTTGTTAAACAGTATGAAAATCAGGAGTCAAGGATCATAGGAAATTATCACCACAGTGTCTACAGAAATTTCCCCAATGGCCATCAATAATGCCTTGATGTTTTGTTCCTGTTTCAGAAAGTGCTCTTACAGGAGAGCTTAAAATCTGTCGCATTGACAAGCATGTTAGCAGCTGTTTGGGAAATGAAGAAGTCTTTATCTTGGTTGAGAAGGTGGGAAAGAGTGAGTATGCTTATGTTCAGATGTGATACGATTGTTTGTTACCACTGTCCAGGAATTGAGCATGAAATATCACAAGTAAGTGCACCTTCTGTGAAATGAATCAGAGGGAACCTCAATATGAACTCTGAGATTTACTCATAGTTGTGATTTGTTTGCACTAGTTCATGAAACATGCTGAATAATTAGTTTTATCAGTATAGTTATGTCTGGACTATAAGATTGTAAGAATTGAGGTTCTTACAGTGGTGAGAACTCAGGTTGTGATCTTGATAACAACACTTGTATTCTGGTGGGTGATTACTGTTGTTTCAAAGGAACATGGAGACGGTATGTCCCTTTGAAAAGTTTTTTTCCCACCTACTAGACCATGTGGTGTCATAACTCAGAAGACCACAATCAGAAGCTTGAAAATTAATAGTGGCTGATATACATTTCATGAGACTAACAACAAGGTTCATCCCTTTGGACCATAAAAGAAAAGAATTAATGGGACAAAATGAAAAACTTGAGCAATAACAGATTTTAGTCAACACTGCAGAAGTAAAGAAAGTTGTCTTCTGGGTTTAGGCACCGTGTATTCTTCGTTTTGGCCAACGAAGAATACACGGTGCCTAAACCCAGAAGACAACTTTCTTCATTGTCGTCGCCATGAAAACCTCAAAACTTACACTGCAGAAGTAGTTTATGAGAATTTGTTGAAAAAATGGGCACTGATAGGGTTTCTCTAAGGATAATAAAATGCCTACTCAGAAGAAGAAGAAGAAGAAGAAGAAGGTGTTAAGAAAGGCATAGAAAATAATAAGATATTTTGTAATATTCTCCATAGGCCAGCTAGACCTAATATTGGGAAGGACAGTCTTCACAGGTGTTATGTTTGGTATAATCGCTGTGTCACTATGTGCAGAAAATTATACAAAATCTGCCCAGAACCTCCTGTTTTGTATTTAAAATTCTGTAAAACTTTTTGCAGGAATAATGTGAAAGTCATTTTTAATTGCCTTCCTTTTACTTTAGAAAACATAAAGATAAAATTCTTCGAGTTGGATGATGAGGACAATGAGGTTTGGTGTGACTATGGGAAATTCTCAGAACTGGATGTTCATCACCAGTATGCCATTGTGTTTCGCACACCACCATACCGTGACACAGAAATTGATAAGACTGTGGATGTCTTTCTGCAACTGTACCGTCCTACTGATGGAGACTGCAGTGAACCCATCAAGTTTGCATACAAGCCTTCAGAAAAAACAGGTATAGCTAGTTGCAAACAGTTAACCTCTTAAGTAATGTGGCAAATTCTATGATTTGTATGTTTTTTACTTGACCTTCTTTATATTGATAGGAAGATCAGTGACCCTTTCCTCCCAGTGAACCACTTAAGGGAAGGTTTGGTAGATATATCCTATAATCCAGCGAGGCCAGTGCTTAGGGATTAATTTTTTTGTGGTAGTCTCTCTCTCTCTGTCTCTCTCTCTTTCACACACACACACACACACACAACAATAACAACAAAAGTATGCATGCATTCTCATACAACCCCCTCCACTCCCCCACATGATGCAACTGTATTATGTATGGTGAGGGCTGTACTGGAAGTAATGAGCAGCATCAGTTTATATATGTTCTTTCGGCATAATGACTAGGGTTATAGGGCTTGTATATTTTCTGAGATCTGAAATACAGGTCCAATGCATATATGCACCTATACTCACCAGTAATCTACTGCAACAAAATGGCTGTAAATGATGTATCATTTTGCCAGCATCCTGTGATTGAATTCTTAAAGGAGAACAGTTCTGCTGCAGACAGAAACATGTTTGTGGAGATTACTGCATCTGTGCCAGCAGCATGCAGTAAGTAAAACAGTTCAAAGATGCCTGTAGGGACATTGCCGATCTGCCTTGCAGTGATCGACCAAGAACCACTACCATGTGGAATGCAGTGTGCGGAAAGTTTATGCCCACATCACAGAAGATCAGGAGGTGACAGGAAAAATGATAATGCAGCTTGGCATTGGACACAGCGAAATGTAGAAGATGATAAAAGACTTTGGGATACTGGAAAGAGTGTCATTGTTGAGTTCCCTGGCTGCTGAGAAACAAGCACAAAACGGCTGTTCCGGCAGTATGCTGCTAAGGGCAGTGACTTCCTACTGAACATTGTGAGTGATGATGAAAGCTGGTTCCACCGGTTTCACCCCAAAACAAAATGACAGCATGGAATGATATCAGACCCCATCTCCAAAGAAGGCCAGAACCACACCCTTAGCTGGAAAAATTGTGGGTACAATTTTCTAGGATGTCAAGGTGTGCATATTTCCTACCCAGAAAGGAAATTATGAGCGCAGTTTGCTATATTCAGACTGTCCAGAAATTGCTACATTCATTTCATGACAAGCGTCTGATGAAAGGACACATCGTTCTCCAGCACAGTAATGCATGCCCTGGTAGTGCGCATTTAATTTCAGGGAGAATTGAAGAGTTTGGTTGGGAAGTGCTCCCCACCCTCCCTACAGTCCAGGCTTGGCCCCCTTGGATTACCACTTGTTTAGACCCTTAAAAATTCTCATGAGAAACCAGAGGTGTGAAAATGATGAGACAGTGTAGCAGACCTTGCACATATGGTTGCAAAATACTGAAACAGAATCCTGCTGCATTGGCATATTCAAGATCATCATTGCTATCAGAAATATCTGGTTTGTTCTGGGGTTTCATGGAATAGTGACAGGAGATCTTTAGAAACCAAAGATAATATCTGTTTTTGTACATGTGCCTCTGCTTTAATATAAAATAAATGTGTTCATGCCATGTGAGTATGACCTGTATAATTTTTATGCTGTCTTATTCAAGAGGTGCTTGGTTCAGATTTTGGCAAGTACGTCATCTGGCCTGGTTGAGCTTTTTCTGATTTTCCTCAGTCCCTTCAGGCAAATGCCAGTGTAGTACCTTGATTGTTCCATGCCTCATTTCTTCCAGATTCTTTCTAATTCATCTTTCCTCCTCCATCCTGCCATTCAGCGCTCTGTAGTCTTGTTACTGGCAGCATCATAAAATAACCCACAGATAGAAAGAAAGCATATAAAATTTCAGTAGAACCAAAGAGCTTGAATGTGTGAGTGTAAGTCAATAAGTAAGTTACTAATAGATATAAAACTTAAACAAATAAGAGTACTGATTTGAAAAATGCTTTTATTTCTCAACATAATCTCCTTGCATATTGAGACACTTGTCCCATTTTTTCACAAGCCCATGAAAACCAGCAGCATAAAATTCTTTGGGCTCCTGTTGGAACCAGGTGGTGACTTCCCTTTCTACAGCTTCATCATCGGGAAAATGTTCAGCCAGAAGATGATGTTTAAGAGGGCCAAACAAATGGAAGTCGCTTGGAGCAAGGTCGGTGCTATACAGAGTATGCTTCAGGACTTCCCACTTGAATTTCGCAGCATCTCATTTGCCATGTTGGCAGTATGGGGATGCACATTGTCATGCAAGAGCAACCACCTTTGGTGAGGAGTTCTGGTCACTTCTGTTAAATGGCCTTACGAAGTTTCCTGAGGATGTTACAGTAGGAGTTAGCATTTACAGTTTGTCCTTGAGGGTGGAATGCAGTGAGCAGTATGCCTTCATGATCCCAGAAGACTGTGAGCATCACTTTCCTGGAGGATGGTGTCGCCTTAAACTTTCTTTTGGCAGGTGACACAGGATGTTCCCACTGCATTGACAGTGCTTTGTCTCAGGATGGTAATGGTGAACCCAAGACTCATTACCTGTGACAATTCAGGCTAGCATATCGTGTCCTTCATCGTTGTTGCGATTGAGATGCTGTAATTCCAGACACATTCTTTGCATATTGTACGAGTATTGTAGGGTGAACATGCACAGCACCCATTGTGCACAGACTTTGTGAGAACCTAGCCTGTCATGCATTATGAGGTAGGCCATGCCGTGTGAACAACCAATAGCAGTGGCTATAGTGTCTATAGTTACACTTCTGTCTGCTCGGATTAAGTCTTTAACCCGTAGCACTTTCGCCTCTGTGGCAATCTGCATTGGCTGGCGGGCACAGTGTTCATCTTCATTATGTGTCCCCCCTTCAGAGAACTTCTGCACCCAATTATAAACAGCTTGACATGAAAGGCACATCTCACCACAGATGGGAAGCATGTCTTTATGAATATTCTTTGATTCCATACCTTTTGCCCACAAAAATTGCACAATGGAGAGCTGCTTGAGGGTTGTACACTCACTCAGAGGCGCCGCCATCTTGCAGTTGCTGTTTCGCTTTTGTAAACATCGATTGTCTCGTGTTGAATGTCATCAGTTTCCACCAGACTAATGCTGCCATCTACTGGCAATAGCCTCAAGTGCCTCATTCAAACATGTAGTACCCCACATCAATTTGTAACTTACTTATTGAGTCACTTACGTAGATCATTTTAAACTTCTTGGAGCTTCATGTCAAGTGTAGGTCATCATAGCAGCCATTGTGCACGGGATCAAGGCAAACTCCTCTTTGATTTTAAATTGAAACTGATGTCATACTTAAGAATATTGTGACATGAAATCTGAAAGCCAGAATGGTGGACTCAGAATAGTCGTCCATTGCTAGGCGACAGCCAGTAAATGCATTTCAACAGCAACAAAAACGCACTCCTGTATCAACAATACCCAGGCCATTGCTAGACAAGTTCTCTATGTTGTCTTTTCTTATGCACTTCTAACTACTGCAGGTCGAGCAACCAGAAAAAGGCAGAGGACTTCACTGACAGATTGTATACCAGTTGCTGTGGTCCAAGGCCATGTTTATGGCAACCCAGTGATTGGACAAACCGCAGCACCTTCTCCCCCCCTGGCCAATCCAGACTGTGATGGCCAAGTTGATTTGGGGAAATTTGAAACTCCACCTGACTTGTTTGAAACAGTGCTAAATGAGGATGCTGCTGTCAATGGAATGAACTCAAATGAATTCAAGGAATTCATCAGGAACCTCTCCTATTCAAGTAAGGAATTGTCCTTCCTACTCATTGCTGCCTTCTGAAATTAAATTAAAACAAGCAGTTAAACAAATTGACAGAGTTCACAGCATATTGCGAGTAGGTGAACTTCAGAACCTTTCATTCTCTAGTTTCTTTTTCTGCCTATATCAAACATTAAACTGTTGTCTGTGCATCACACAGTTGTGCTGTCACACTCATTAGTTCAGCAGACCCCCTGTAGACCTGATTATCACCAAATTTAAATCTGGATGATTAAGGCTAAAGGCAGCATTTATAGGAAATGTGCAATAGGAAATTATCTTCAGTATGAGGAAAATTAGCTCTCAAATTAAAACTGAATTCATCTTTACATTGCCAGATATATCATAACCCAGTGTAGTATCCAAGTTGTTTTGTTTTTTGTCATGAGTCATTGTAATTATGTTTCATTGTGTGCAAAATGTATCTAATTTACCAAATCGAACCTTCCAGAATTTGCACCATCCAGATCAGAATTGTGCTGTGCACAGGTCTTTGTATGGAAAGGCATTTTTTTTTCAAGCATGGCTAAAAATGCAAACTTATAGTTTGTACTGACAAAGTTCCAGTATAGTCAAACTGTACATCTGTTACATGTTGTTATTCCAGGCTTGGGATCATCGTATGCAGAGACTTTTGAGAATAATGAGTTTTTTCTAAAAGATGGAGCACATACAAGAGATGTCACAACCATGGACATCAGCACAGATGGCAGCAGCAGATTGAAGATTAAAAAACGAGGCAAGTTGTGAAAGTTCAGTTTCCCAAACTCAGAACCTCATTTAACTACATCTTTTGTTATTGTTATGTTATTGAACATGTAAACACTTGGAAGCTTTTGTAGTTACAAAATTTGATCACTTGAGCAGTGTGTAAATCAGTAACTGGGAAGGATTTGAAGATTATGTGAACTTAGCAAACATTTCTTTTGCTGGCAATGTATCAGCTGTTCTGAGGTTTGCTTCAGGTTGATGGAAGTCATTATTGCTGATACACTATTTATAATAAGATAAATTACCATAAAGTGTGTCTAATTTTTTAATGAATAAATAATCTGCTCATCCCAATATGTTTTGGCCTTGGAGCAGCCAGTATGAGAGGAAACTTTATGTAATTCATAAAATATTCTAAAATATTTGAGTCATTCACATGAAATCTGATCATAAATTCTTGAAATGTTTGGAATTAATATCATGTTGAAGCCTGTGACAGATCCATCTTAAACAAGGGTTCAGTGTATTTTGTGTCAACAACAGTTGACAGCTTTATGCTTTTCTGTGGGTTTCTTTGACCCTAGTGTTCTTTTTATTTATCAGTATACACCAAAGAAGTTCTAAAAACGATATAACACTGCAACAGGAGAACTCGCTGTCATTTAAATTTAACTACAGGGGCATCCAGTGTACTTTTTAAAGAAGTCATAAGAGGGTTAAGATTTATATATATATTATATTGAAATTATCAATCTCACCAGTGTGTTGCTTGCCAGTAAGGCTCATACAGTAGCAGCACTACTTGTTCTTGAGTCTGTATACCAGTATTTCCTCCATCACTGATGTAAGGATCAGTGTAACATAACTAAGTTATTACATCCTCATCATTTGAAGTAGGGTATACCGCAAGAAGGTGTCAGCATTCTCTATTTAGCTCGCAGTCAGGTTATTTAAATGAAACAGACACACAAATCCCTCTCAGTATTGTAGCTGCCTAAATTATGGGCGTATTTAATCGTTAGTTTAAATTTTGATTTATTGATTGGGCTTGAAGTATGCGAGTATGTCGCGGAACTTGGAATTCCTTTGTGGGGTTTGGAGCCATATATCAACCATAAGTGAGGTCCTGAGGGGTCCAGCTGGTCAGAGTAGGTCATAGGACTGGTGGCTTGCAGATGTGTAAGTACATTATTAAGGATGATGTGGCTTTCATTAATTTTAACCAATAAGAATGCATACATTCAATGTAAGGGCGAGGAATTCAAAATCCAGTCAACTGGCGGTGAGGGACTTGTGTGAGCATTGGATGCCACTTCTTCTTTGAGGATAGATGTGTTGCTGTTAAGGTCATCTGGGGGGGGGAGCTTTTTATTTTAACTTCACAAATCAACAGGTGTTTTGGCAACTCCAGCAAATTCGTCCTAATAAAGTAGTACCTGTCTATTGTGTAAATTGACACGAACTAGAAATTGAGCAACATCACATCATTTCACCTCATCACATCTGCAGCTTAAGTAATTCAGTGATAAAGAGTATAAACTGGCGAAATATAATAAATGAACCTTATCATCAAAGTAAATCATTGTTTCTTATTATATGGTGCATGACTGATGTATTTCCTTATTAATGCAACCTTCGAGACAAGTCAAGCCTTTACCATCTGACTTACATATTCTAGTCTGTCCCATAATAACAATAATATATCTTGAAATATTAACCCATCAAATTACCCATCGACACGTCAGCTAACACTGCCCAAGTCAGAGGTTGGGTTATCTTCTCCATTTATAATATCTAGCAGTTTCCAAAATCTCTGAGCATTTCTGTAAATCTGCATTCGAACTTGCAGCTCCTGAGTATTGTTTTTACATTGTGTTTACTTATATGAATATATTGGAGACAAATATTAATTTTCCTGTTTGGTTATATTCATGTAAACATAGCCAGTGATTTTGTCCATATTACACTGCATTAAAAACTGAATTTTTATTATGTGTGTGTTTCAGCTACCCCATTGAGCAGAGAACCAGGTGTTGACACAAATGTTGCAACAAAATTCAGTCGTGTCTCAATAGAAGATATGAAGGAGCAGCATAGGAATTCCACAAAAATAGAGATAATGATGGTAAGTTGACTAAGGTCACTTCAGCATGTGTTTGACTGTTAGTAATAGAGACTCTTGTATTTGTGTATTTATTTCAGCAACAGGCAAGGAAGAAAACAAAAGACTGAATTTGTGTGGTATGTGGGTTATCTGTTCTACGAGTATGTAACCTGTTCTTTAGGAAGTGAAAGATTGTTATTTCAATGAGATCATGGATGTAGGAGAAAGATTGCGTTCATTTTCACCCTCCCCCTCCTCCACCTGGATTTCCATCACTGGGAGGCTATGTTGGATAAAATAATTATGTTACGTTCTCATGCTTAGATATTTGTGACCCCTATAGTATAAGTAACTTAAACTCTCAGGGTTTAGCCATATCATGTGTTGATGCTGCTGCAATGTGTCGGTGTACATTGCACTGCCATCTTCAGAGTATATGCGGTAGAAGGAGGATGTGGCTTAATGTGTAGTTCTCATAGTGGAATTAAGGCCTGGTGTGTGGAGTGTGGTGCTATCCAATGGGAAGGAGCCATACAGCTGATACACATGATCCATTGTTGGACAGCACCATGTCCCCCTCCCATTGACTGTCATCACGTTCAGTGCTCCCACTGCAAGATCTGCATATCAAACTGTGGTCTCCTGCCTCATTCACCCTGAAGATGGCAACTGAAATATACACTGGTATGTTAGTACAGCTGGAAGCCAAAATTATACACTTTAAATGATATAAACTCCGTCTCAAGTGCACTATCGTATAGAGTGCAACAGGATGCTTAAATATAATATTATACACTTGTTTTACATGTAGCACTGTTTAGCTGTAAAGTGTCTCTTATCATGAGGGAAGCATGTAAATTGTAGGGGTGTTACAAGAAAGTACTGAAAAAGTATTCAAACTGGAGAGAAACAATGAGAAATGAAGGAAATTTCTAAGTCTTGGAAAATATTTAATTTCACTACTCAGAATTGGGGTTACAATGTAGAGTGGGGTAAAAGAGGGAAGAAAATGTGTACATACCACCGTGTAAATATTTTATATGCATTACTTGTAGAAGTTAGCTTTCCATGTTTTTCCCTTGCTACTTTGAATGTTCATAAAAAGATGTTCTCCACATTTCAAAAGGTGTCAGTTTTAGCTGCAATTTTATGTAATAAATTTTGAATGAGGAACCATCTGTAATGGAACTTGAATTCTTCTGGGACCAAGCAGCTAGATGATAGTGAAATAACATAAATTGAAGTGTAATGAATTCTCAGAATGGCTTCTTGTAGCATTGTAAATTTGGAATTAATGATGTGCTGATGAGTGATTAAGGTCAATTTTATAGGATGGCGAACAGCTGGCTAAGTGGGCTGTGGCTAAGTTGAATGAAACACTGCTAGAGAAACCACCACCACATGTTTTAGCATCAAAAGTGCGTGAAATATTCTCAAAGAAGATAGATGATGGAGATGGGTAAGTTACACTCAGTACTGGCTTGTACTAACCTGGTGACAGTGACCAGTGATTTGATATAATTATAAACAGTGGGGTGTAGTGTATCATTCCACGTGTGGAAAGACTTGTGAAATATACAGTAACACTATGAAGATCAAGGTTTAAGCTCAACTTTGCATCAAGGCTTAAGATTGAAGAAATATTTTACTAATTATGATTGCATCTGTGCCACAACACAGTTTCTCTTAAAAAAATTGCTTAGTACTTATATTGAAATCACAGAGATGAAGTTCATTATAAGCATTAACCAGGATTTTGTTAAGTTGTTGGTATTGAATTTCCAAAATACAAACTGTGCACCTTTCTCGTAATGGTAGTTTTAACCAACTTAGAGATCGTGTATATTTGCTTCTTTCCATTTTTTATTTGACAATGCAATTCATTTTAAACTTACAGATGGCTTTGTATTCTGTGACGCTGCATGTGTATGCAACTTCTGGACTATGTCCAACATTCACTGAGGTCATATATTTGTTACAATTCCAAACATTTTTGCTCATAACAACAGTCCTTCTCTTGGGGGATTTTTCTTCACAGGAGCAGTTCAAAGAATAGTGGTGTTATTTTTCATCCATCCTGCAGCATGCCACTTTCATTACTAACCATCAGTCACAGTTCTGATATGTACATACACTCACTATATTACTGCCTATTTTTGTATTGCAAGAAATACACATTGTATGATCTTTGCCCTTCCTGTGCCCAGGCAATATGAGACCAGCATTCCATCATTTCTTTTTTCAGTTTGTGTTTATATCTAGTTCCTTCAAGTAGAGTATACTCTAGTTGTAATATAGTACTAGATTACTGGTGTAAGAGACTGTTTCACTAATGATCTTGAACACACTTTTGGAAGAAATGGTACACAAATGTCAGACAACTCTTTGTCTCTTTTGTTTTGCAGGCCATTACACTGTGCAATTCAATATGACATGAAGGATCTCCTGAAACAGATGTTCACTGTGTTGGGTAAGGGACAGCACAGGCCAATAATCAATGACCGCAATTTAAAGGATGAGGTATGTATTTCGTTACCCATAGGAAAGAGTATCTGAATTTGAAAATACTGTTATTGTTATGAGACATATGAATTTGTTAGTTTAAATGTGTGGATAAGGTATCGCATCTTTCTTCAAAATAAATTTTAATTATTAAAATAAAAAAATGAAAGAATTAAAGCTCTCCTTGTGATTAAGCACCACGCCATGAAGTCAAGTAGGGGGATGGAGGTAAAGCAGCATGTGTTCTTAATCTGTCACTATTGATAGAAGAACTTCATGCTCCAACCACTTCAGATGCAGGAGAAAGTCCCCATTACACATTGACATGAGCCCCAGGCTCATTGGAGACATGGCACTGAAGGAGCAGTGTATAAATTCTTCCCCTGCTGGTAATGTTATAGTAGTTCACGGGGTNAGTAAAAAACTTACAGGTCACATTGGACGGAGTGATTTATAATTTGTAATTGTTATTGTGACGGACCAGAATGAAACAAATCAAACACAATATGAATTGGGCAAACACAAAATTTTGGTTGGGAAACGTCTTGTATAGAAGTTACTATTAAAATTAAATTATTAAAATTGATCTCAATGAAATAGAATATTTATCACTGTGTACATTTGTTCCACCAGACTCCTCTTCATCTATCAGTGATCCTGAACCAGCCAGAAACAGTGAAGACGCTACTTACCATTGGAGCCAACCCAAACAGTGTTAATAGGCAGGGAGATTCACCCTTGCATTTAGCTGTGTCAGCATCCTATAATGACTGTATCTCAGAACTACTTAATGTTTCTAACTATCAGTGGTACAGCAACTGCATTGACTGCAACCTGACGAATTATAATGGTGAGTCCTGTGATGACCTTTTATTCCTATGTATTTATGGTACAGTTCGCTTTATATCTTGTTCTGAGTCGTTATGGTCATAATAATCACTGACATTACACTTTGCCTTCAGAATCTTTCCAGTTTTATACTTTAATGTTCTGTAAACTTTGTTTAATGATTCAGTGTGAAAGTTTGTCATTACTTGGTCATTTCTGTTTGCGGCCGAAGGGATATGACAGTTGCCTGATGTCACAGAAACTGCAGAATTTGAAAGGGGGTGCAGATCTTTTAGAAAGTCTCAGTAGAGGGGACTTTTATTTCAGTTTTTGACAAGGATGGATATAACTTTAGAAGTTTTAGAATTAGCCAATTATCTAACAACTTTAAATGATACACGTAATAATATTAATCATAAATCAGTAATAAAGTCACTGTGCATCCATCCACTCTTGGAAATTGTTGCAATAATAACACCTTTTCGAGCACTAAAATCAGATATCGTATTAGTGAAAGTATTGTAGCCCATCTGTTCAGTAAATCATCAGCAGACAGTTAACTCCAGTGCATTTTAGAACCATCTCCCCGTTGTGCTGTCATTAGAGATAGGCGTCAAATGCCTACCACACTGAGCTCACCAACCAGTTAATCCACAACTTTTGGAAACGTCTGGTAACAGACTGAGAACACAAGGTTGTGTGCAACCTGAAATTTTGAGTTAACAAATTTTAATATTCTATAAACAGATTGTTAGTAATTTAGTATTTCAGCATTGGCAGTGCCACCAGTGGGTATGGGTTTTGAAGACATGATAGCAGACAGTGTTTAGACCATCATCTAGGCCATGTTTATGGGAGCTTTACTAGGATTGCCGGCATGTCAGTAAGTTACTACTGTTCAAACCTGTGACAAAAGCAGGTTTCATCAACCAATCTTCATGTTGCACTTGGTATGGTCAGAAGCATCATTCACCAGTGGTGTCTGCGCAATGCTTGGCATGGCATGAGCATTCTTCTTTTGGGTAACGTCAAGGATCGTGGAATATAGTCAGCTTAGGTTAAACTATGCATGGCGTAGAACTGACAATGCTACATTTGAAGTTAATGGCGAATTATGTTGGTTCTTACGGTATCATGTCTTTCTACAGTTTTACTTTACTTTCTACAGTTAGCAGAATGCTGATAGTAACAGCACATTTTACAGTTGTGTCATTTTCAAGAAGTTCAGTTTTTGTATGGAATTATCCAACACTAATTTTAGTATATATTTATATGTGTGTTAATGTCTGTAGTGAATGAAATAATCTTTAATTCAACATTGCTTACTAGATAGTCCTCCAGGTCCATTTTAATAGCGCCACTAATCAGGAGAGAATATGCATGCACAAAGAGCAAGTTATGGGCCTTCTGTCACAGACACAGATTCTGTAAAGCCTCTCTTCAAAATGAAAATGAATTTTGAAAGTCATTTTGTTCAGCAGTCACCAGGTTTAAAAGGTTAAATGGGAAATTTAAAAATTTTAATAAGATAAATTGTGTCATATATTATGTGGCCACTACGAAATGAGCCTGATTTGTGGAGCATAGTGACAGAGTAGCTTGTGAGGCTCAGCAGATAAAAATACACAGAACTTAGAAGGCACATTTAGACAAAAGTTAAAAAGTCACTCCAGTACTTGTTTATACTTCATAAATCAAAGCAAAAATATGTAATTGTAATATTTTGGAACAACTTTGATGTCTGCCTCCTTTCAATCATGCCATTATGTAAGATTTGGAGCTTTGTGGCATATGTTCGCTAAAATTTTCTTCAGCGATCAGCTGTGCCAATGTTGAACTGAAAACCAGATTTTCATTATGAAATAACAAAAGATGTGCGTAAATATAATGGTGAGATCTTGAATGCAGATTCACAGTTGTCATCTGCTATTTTCAGGCTGTACACCACTGCACATAGCAGCCAGAGAGAAGAATTTGGATGCAGTTAAAAAGCTTGTGGATTCTGGAGCCGATGTGAACAAGAAGGACACATCACTAGGGCGTACAGTGCTTCACATTGCTGTAGAAGAGAGCAGTGTGGAAATCAGCCGCTATCTCCTTGAGAAGGTGAGATAGTCAGTTGACTAGAATATTGATTGCATGATATTGTCCATTACAATGAACAGGTGATGGATAGTGTAATTGACACTGTAGAAACAGTAAATGATGATACTTTCATATATGTACATTTAAGCATGTGTATTTAATGATGTGCTCTTGCTTGCAGACTAACATAGATGTAAATGCTACCAGCTACACTGGAAATACTGCTCTGCATGGGGCTGTCGTGTGTGAGGGCTCAGAGTCTTCCGAGCTCTGCACATTGCTTCTCCAGTACAAGGTAACATTTCCTAGTTGAGATGTTTCAGTCAGAACCAATAATGCCTCAAGTTTGCTTTCGAGCATACAGTAGGCCTTGTATTTGCGAACTGAAATCATGCAAGTATTACAAAATGCCTGTGGGAAATGGAATCGGTTGCCACAGTTAGAAAGCAGCCACATAATGTTGTCTTTTCTCTAGATGATGTACATTTTACATGCTGGTAATCTATTGTAACGTGTTTGGAGTAGGCACTTCCATGGTAACGCAATAACAGTGAGCCATTGCATAGACAATGCTGAAACAACAAACATATCTCACTGGAGATGGACAACATAAGGCTCGTTACTTAACAACGGACTGTCGGAACAGTGGTAACGGAACCGTGAGGAATGGTGTCTGGTATCCGGTCGGCATAACGCCTGTATAATCAGAGCTAGTTAGACCCAAACAAAAGAGACAGTTGGGATCCAGCCACAGCCAAGGACAGTCGAGATGTCGCATTGAAGTAGAAGCAGTAGTTGTGATACTGCAAGTGGTAATAACTGTAAGGTGTATAAGAGTGAGTGTCCAATAAATAGTCGCTAAATCCGAGACCTACGTGAAGTTATTTGTTATGTGATATACCCAGCATGTGACAATGTGACAAATAAGGTTATGATATTATACAATAATAGGATTATGTTGATTAGTTAGTACAAAGCTTCCAAATGTTCAGCTGTTGCTTGTGTAATGGCAGGCTGGACATGAGAATGAATCCAAAAGTGGTTTCTATTGAAATTTAAATTATAAATCTGTTATGGTCCTGAGTAATACTCTGAACTAGAATTGTGGTCCAAGAATGTACGTGGTGCAATCCAAAAGTTCCCAAAATATATTAATAAAAACTATTACGTCTCAAGTGGATCTTATTCTGCACCATCACCTTCAAAGTAGTCCCCTTGAGAGCGCATACACTGATCCCAGCGTTTCTGCCACTTTTGAAATTCCTCTGGAAGTCTTTCTTTGTAATACTGTTTGCATTTCCGCTTGAATTTCTTCAACTGTATCAAATGCTGCCAGAGTGGCACTCAGTACCGTCTGCATTTCAGCTTGAATTTCCTCAACTGTATCAAATGCTGCCAGAGTGGCGCTGCAAAGAAGCCCCAGTAAATCAACAAGGAAGGCTGCAGCACGACTAGGAATATCCAGAGGATCAGTGCAGCAAATATTGAAAAGCAATTTGAATTTGTATCCATACAAAATGACAGTGTTGCCCAGGCTTACAGTTCAAAACAAACATGAAAGGATGGCATTTGCTGAATGGGCTCAGAATAATGAGGTATCATTCAGCAATGTTCAGTTTTCTGATGAGGCACACTTCCACTTTGATGGTGTGCTTAATAAACAAAATGTGCGATTTGGGACGGCAGAGAATTCACATGTGATTAATGAGAAAGTGCATTGCACCAAGAATTACAGTGTGGGTCACCATCTCAAGTCATGTAATGCTAGGGCCAATTTTCTTTGAAGGGACAGTCAACAGTGAGTGCTATTTAAGCATGTTGCGCAATAATTTTGCTACAGGTTTACCATTTCAAACTCAGCGGTTCATGCAAGATGGAGCCAGGCCGCACACAGCGAATATTGTTTTGGGCTTTCTTCATGACACTTTCGACTTACGTGTCATCTCAAACCAATTTCATGATCATTTTGCATGTGGACAGAACTGGCCCCCAAATAAATCCATGTGACTACTTTCTTTGGTGATTTCTTAAGAAAAAGATTAAAAAAAAACCCACAAACAGTAATGGAATTGAGCATACTAATCATTCAGGCCTGCAACGAGATAACTGAGGATATGTGCCATCAAGTAATCAATAGCATCACAGTTTGGTTTGAAGAAGTTGCCAGACGTAAAGGTGGCCATATTGAATACTTGATTCACAGAGGATAAATCTCCATACAGTCATCTTTCTCTTTGTATGTTAGTTTCTAGTACTGTAATTGGAATAAAGTTTTTGTTAATGTATCAAATACTGGAACATTTCATGCACCAACCTGTAGATGGCATGAATTAAAGTGAATCCACCCCAAAAGGTAGAGCACTGTGCCTATGCTGAGGTAAATGGGTAATTATTTGCAGACAGTGATTTTAGCCTGGACAAAAGTAACTATGATGATAGTGATGGTGAATTAGTAATTAATGATGTTAATATCTGAGTAGTTATTAGTGTAAAGCCATCAGTATACAAAGCGTGTGATGCAGAGGAAAGGTAGACTGTATTTACTAAGTTGATAACAAGCAAATGATTATGGAAATAATGCATATGTAGAAAAGTACAGATTTTTCCATGGGTATTCATCTAAACTCTAATCTTTAAATCATTTAGGTATGTTGTTTAATTTAGGAGTTATGATTATTTTGGGTAGGGCTCATGAACAGCTGGTAAAAGTGGCTAGAAGCTACAGGTAGATTGGCATCCACATAGGCAGTCCTTGTAATTTTAAGACATAGAAATTTCTTGCATGAAAAATGTGTTTTCTGTATTATTTGAACCAAAAAGAACTCAATTGAAAGGTTACAAGTGTGTAATTGTTGTTACATCTGATTGTAGATGTTGGAGTTGACTCCTCTGTTTTCGTTTGTGTTACACTCTGATTCAAGAGCATTCTTTGAGTCAAAATGTGCAATATGGGAACTCCTCCCATTTGCCACACTAGCCTGCATGAATTGTATGGTGAAGTACTTCAGAAATAAAGACTGAAATTTTGGGTGCTATGCCTACAAGCATTTTAGCACTGATCACAACATTCATCGGTATCAGTTTTGGCATCATACAACGAAAGTCAGTTTTCTGCACCATACAGAAAGCTGTCCTGTTTTAGGTTCATTCAGTATCTGTGGCATTTAGTGTCTAGGGTTGCGTCCTGGCTTTCCCCATCACCCACTAGAGTCTGGGAAATACTTCGTTTATGCATTGCTGGGATTCAGTTTCTGTGATTTTTCACCTAAAATTTGAAATTGTTGTTATACCCTTTTTGCCAGTCAGAACAGGCTTGAGCATAACTGATGCAGAACAAAAGATTATTTAAATGAGAAATGAATATGAGTTTAAAAATAATTCTCATTTTATAGGCCAACCCTCGGCTGGAGAATTATGTGGTGGAACATGATGGGGAAGTGGAAGTTTGTTCTGAAATGGAAATAAAAGAGGAACCAGAGAGTGATGATGATGACGACGATGATGATGATGATTGTCAGCTCAAAATTGAAGAAGGTGATCATGAGGTTGGAGACATTAACAGTAAGGCACATGGTCAAACATCACTGGATTTGGCTACAGATAAGAAAGATGTAAGTTTGATACTTGAAGTTGTTTTCCACTGCTTTGTGTTCTGTACTGGTGTGCTAAAAGATTGCCAAAGTCAAGTGTATGAAATTCTTAAGTGTAATTTTATAACTAATTTAACAGATTTTTTGTTATTGCCATAATGAAAAGTTGTAAGATAAAAATAAATTTTAACCAAACACATTCAGAGTTTGCATCATTGCATGTGCCCTGGGATGTTTGCTGCAGATCCTGGAATTGCTACGGAAAGTGGAACAGCCCATGGATCAGGAGGAGGTGGAGGACATGGTTGGTGTAAAAGAGGAACCCTCTGAGAGCCCAATATTAGAGGGAGTACTTGGAGAAGGTAAGGGCAGCTTCATTCAGACAATATAACTGTGGGGGCTCAGTAAACACATTTCCATGGAGATACCATTCTTGAATAAACAATCCATTGCTAGGTAAAACCTACAATGATCCTGACGCTGCAATAATCAATGCTATCAATGACTCAGTAATGAAGGTATCCACAGAACAAAATCAAGACAAGACAGTATCAGAACTGTACCCCAGCTGTGTTCTACACTGTCGGAGCGAAATCTACTTAAGGAGGAGCCCAACTGGGATCAGATCAGCCTGCCTAGAGCCTGCCTACATCTTCTTCGATCAACAAACCTGTGATCTTCAACCTGCAATTCTTCAACTGAAGTTCATCTGTATATTCTGTATAACCTCAATAAATATTTTTATTAATTACTTACTCATGAAGCTGAGCCCTTCTTTAGGAGCCGCTAATTCTGCAGCTACTCAAGAATTTCCCAGCATTTTATGGAACCTGAAGGTTCGTTACCATGTTCACGAGAGCCCTCCACTCAATGGCGTGCCGTGCATGGAAGCAAGGGAAGCATTGCTTCCGTACTTAAGAAACGAGAAGAAAATAAGTCACATATAAATAATTCAATTTGAATAATAAGGATGTGAATATTGTCATTTAGTCTGTGTTCCTGCTCAAGGCCACATGCCTCCCCCTCCCCCTCCCTAACCCTGCTTGGTGGGACGGACCCAGTTTCCTTTCGTTAATCTTCGTAATAATTCATCTAATCCAAAGGGGCCAAGGGAAGCAAATTTCGGTTTGTTTGCTAGGCCAGCGAAGGAATGTGTTCTTTCGTTGGTGATGTGAAAATTAACTGTTTATGTGTGATTTCAGTCTTGTTGGGTGTTATAGGTAACATTAAGTTTTATTAAAATATTATAAGTGCGTATTTAGATGGCGTAAGATTTTATTTGTGATCGTATTTTGACGCATCAGAAAGAAGCCAACCACGTTTAAGGGAAGCAAGTCTGATACTGTGGTACAAGGGCAGGGGCGTGATTAGACTGCACACACAGGCAACAGCTAAAACGAATGCTGGCAGACAACGGGACTGCGACTGGGCAATCAAAAGCCTTTTAAAACGGGGGTTTAATAGCAGGGACTTTTCTGAAAAAAAATAATTATAGGAAGAGGACGACCGACATGCGAGTTGCCAGAACTTAAAGCACAAACCAAATTATATGTGAGGAAATTCAATTTGGAACAGTATTCTAAAACAGTGTGGCTATCCGGTTGCGGTAATATAGAAAAATTGTTTTGTTGGCCATGCCTATTGTTTCTCATTGAAAAAAAAACGTATGGAACAAGACTGGGTTTGGAGATATCAACAGTCTTCATAAAGCATTGAAACGACATGAGAACTCTCAGACTCACATCATTTCAACAATGCAGCTTGCTGTATTCGGGAAATCTCTAATTGACTGTCAACTTGACAATCAAAAGCCCCTGACGATACTATAGCAGAATGAAAATGTGAAAGAAAATAGAGAAATAATGAAACACTTGATTGACATCATGTGCCATTTAGGAAGAGGCAACTTGCCCTCCGTGGTCATGACGAAAGTGTGGATTCTATCGACCGAGGTAATTATGTGGAATTAGTTCACTTATTGAGGAGATATGATCCTAAACTCAATGTTCACCTTGAGAACAGTACAGTATTTACAAGTTTATCGAACAGAATACAAAACGACCTTATTGACACAATAAGTGATGTAAATTTTGGTGAGTTGATTGATATCAGTTCATTTCTTAGATACCACTGCTTCCCTTACCAATAATAGTGCCGCACGCCACTACCTCCACTGGTCCCTATCCTGAACCAGATCAATCCAATCCATACCATACCATCCCATCCTATCTCTCTAAGATCAATTTTAATATTGTCCACGCGCCTACACCTTCGTCTTCCCAGTGATCCCTTTCGTTCTGGCTTTCCCACCAATATCCTAAATGCATTCCTTGTCTCTCTCATTTGTGCTACATTCCCTGCCCACCTCACCCTCCTTGACTTGATCATTCTAATGATACTTGGAGAAGAGTACAAGTTATGAAGCTCCAATAAATATTTTTATAGCAGTTTTATACATCGTTGTCTCCCCAGACAACATCCCACAACTGCTCGGATATGCAGGCCATATAGCTTGGAGACGGTGCTGCTAGCTTTGTTTACTAGTGTCACTAGTTCAGTGCTTGTGCAGAATTCATACGCCGTTGTATCTCACAGAGAAGATATGATCAGTTTTTCACCAGCATCATAAAACCATGCAAAAGGTACAGCTGGGTTTATTTGTCATCATCAGATTTCAGTTGCTTATACATAATTCATGTAGCATTGTATCAGTTGGAGAAGATATAGTAAGCTTTACTCACCACTCTTGTCAGGTGTTTAGTCCTGTCAGCTTTACCCACCAACATCACATGTCCAATCCATATCATTTGTAGAAGGTATATCAGCATCACTTGTTACGTGCTTGTACAGAATTCATATAGCTTTGTAGCTCTTCAGGGTGGTGCTGTTCTCTTTATTCATCATCAATTTTTTTGTGCTCATACAAAGTTCATGTATTTTCATATCACTTGAAGAAGGTATGTCAGTGTTACTCATTGGGTTAAGTAGATATGGTTGGCATTGTTAGCTGGTGGAGGAGAAGGGATAGCGTAGTCGGTATAGAGACTGGTTACAGGCTGGACGGTGGAGGTGTCAGAGTTGGAGTCCTCATGAGGTCAAGAATTTTCTCTTCTCCACTTCGTTCAGACCAACTCTGGGGCCCACCCAGCCTGCTACCAAATGTGTACTGGCGGCTTTTCCCATGGGGGTGAAGTGACAGGAGCATGAAGCTGACCTCCAGCTAATGCCAAAGTCAAAAAAATATGGATCTATATATTTACTCCCCCATACACCTTCATGGTGTACTGCTTAATTAGGGACAACTTTACCTTACCTTTATTGTTAGCTAGTGTCCCTTTGCTCTATTCATTAGCATCACTCAGTTGGGGCTTACACAGAATTCTTATTGATGATGTTGTATTTTAGCATCTTGTTGCACTGATTTTCTTCCATGATATGTATACAGTTGCCGTCTTGTAGTGCAGTCAGTTTCACCCGTTACGTCACGATATGTTTCGGCAACATAGTGCCACCATCAGGTGCCCTAATTACGCTAATCTAGTTCATTGCTTGCCTTTATAAAATTATTTAAAAAGTGCGTATTTGTCAACCATAATAAATTTACACACACTAAAACTTGTTAAGATTATTCATCTTATGTGTCATATTAAAACTTGCGTCTGGTTCTTCCACTACGGGGGTCGTTTTTCTTATATTCTGTGTAAACCGTGTCTTGTGGTGTGTGTTCCCTTCTTGGTTGTGAGTGTTGTAATGTTGGAACCAAGAAGGGAAAACACATCACAAGACACGGTTTACACAGAATATAAGAAAAACGACCCCCGTAGTGGAAGAACCAGACGCAAGTTTTAATATGACACATAAGATGAATAATCTTAACAAGTTTTAGTGTGTGTAAATTTATTATAGTTGACAAATACGCACTTTTTAAATAATTTTATAAAGGCAAGCAATGAACTAGATTAGCATAATTAGGGCACCTGATGATGGCACCATGTTGCCGAAACATGTCGTGAAGTAACGGGTGAAACTGAGTGCACTACAAGACGGCAGCTGTATACATATCATGGAAGAATTCTTATCATGTGAAACATCTTCACACATGTCAGAGACAAGGCGTGTGTACCAACAGGTGCCAGCAATTACCAGTTGGATTGTGTTTTGATAGGTGTGGTGAGGAGACCTAGTTTAGCTTTCTTGGGGTGGGGTGAGACAGTCCACTTGGTATGTCGGCCACTAACTGGCCAATTGTACCAGCCCTGGGTGATAGATAATGAATGTGAAACAGTCGGTGGAATGGGAATTAGCAGCAGAAACCAAAGTACTCAGAGAAAACCTGCCCCTGTGCCACTTTGCCCACCACAAATCCCACATGACTTAACCTGGGCTCTAATCCAGGCCGCTTATGTTATTGTCATGTATCATGGTAACATGACAAGAAGCTAATGGGTTTCAGATTAGATGAATCAATTTATTGAATAATTTCACCACATGGAACCACAGATAATTATACTCAAATTACTGATAAGAGACAAAATAAGGTTTTCAGTGTCTGCTTGCTTAAGCAATGTCTGACTCTCAAAAGCTTACTAATTCACTTCTGACTTTGTGTCTGACTCCTCGCTTCTAGCTTCTGAAGTGGCCTCCATTTATACCTGCTAGGCAGCTGGGATAGCAGACACCTCCTTGAACAGTTCTCATTTTCATTTCCATGGTAACGGTCTGCCTATGTGTATGTGTTGTCGCATGACATGTTTACAGTTGTCATCCAGACAACGATGCATTCTCTGCTCTTATTGCAGCAGAAACGTGATTACCGAGCCGTTGTCTAGCGATGGTCGCCCGCTCTCACTCTGATATTCTGGCTTTTAGGCAGCACGTCACATTATATTTGTGACTATAGTCAGAGGTGATCTTTCCTAATTTGTACCCTTCACATAATGTTGTTTGTGTGATTAAATAGAGAAAAGTGAGATGGGCAGGCTAGGGGATGAAAGAAATACATGCAGAATTGCAATGGGAAAACCTGATGCAATGAAACTGTGATAGAACCAAAGGACAAAAATAATTGCAAATGTCAGTTCCTACAGTGTTTCTATTGGTGGCAAAAGAAAAAGATTATATCTGCAGTTGGCAGAGCTGGATGCAGATTGAAGGCCCCAGACATCTGAAATCCGTGGTTGCTGAGGGATTGTGTTTAACATTGCAAAAATTTTATATTATATATATTTGCTTGACTCTTGTGTTTTAGTGAAGAATGGCCTATTTGATTCAGACACACTGATGAGGTTATGTGATCTTTTGGATAAATCCCAAGGCTGGGTGAATCTAGCAGACCTGCTAGACTATGGCTTCTTGGTTGCTAGCATCAGGAATGCTGCCAGTCCCAGCAAAATGCTGTTCAACTATGCAGATGTAAGTAGGCTTATTCAAAATATTAACTTGTAGATATGCAAGAATACTGATATAATGATGCTGAGATACAAGAAATTCATCATTCCTTTAAGAATCAGAATGCACAGTTGTATGGGCCAGGGCAGTGGTCCCCCCACCCCCCAACACAGAGTTATTGAATTCCTGGCAGAATATACACGAGAAACTATCTACATCAGTCATCAGTATTTCAAATTTAATCTGCAATTTGCATACACCACAAACTGAAGTGGAGAAAGTGAGAAAAGACAATACAGCATAATATTTTTATATCTCCATATATAAATGTTCAGAAAATCGCCTGGCCTTAAAGAAATCAACAGATACTTTAGTTGTACATTTCTGTTGTTACAATTTCACAGTTTCTTTCAGAGACTGGCTGGTGGCAATACTCCTTACATTTACCCTTGGTCACTTTTCATCCCTTTATACATCCGTGCGTACAGAGTAACAGAATTGGAGTCAGCAGATAACAATGCCACTCACCTCCAAGATTTTTCTGCAATCAATAAGGAATACCATATAAATTACTGTTTTATGCCCAGGTCCAGTAGTTATGTTAAGAGCTTCAACACTCTTATCATATTATCTCTTGTATTTTGCAGTATCACCTGAGAAGTATTACAAGTGTTTTCCTTTATGTTTTAGCTGCATGGAAATGTAAGTGTGCAAGATATACGCAGCTTCCTAGAGGCACTTGATGAACATGAAGCTGTTGAGACAGTGGATCTGATGCTGGCACGGAAAATTGCATCTTCATAACACTGCTCCATGCTTTATGATGTGTATTGAATCCATGTTCATTCCTGGCACACAGTGGAAGGTGTTCACAGCTAATGGACAAGCAAGGATCACGTTGTTTATTATGTGAAACCAATGGGATTGTAAGGTGTAAGGCTAGGAACACACACCGTGACATTGGTCATACGACATCCATACGGTTCATGTTGCATCAAGTAGTAGAATATAAAGTATAGTCTTATCTTTCATACGTGACGACGTGCGACATCTACCGTATGACAGTTAGAGAGCAAAGAAATGTATTTGGTCGCTCTAGTGTGAAAAGGTCGTACAGAAAAAAAAAATCTTACAACATTTTTCCGTACGACTGATGTTGCTGTGTGTGTTCCTAGCCTTACACTGCATTGGCTACAGAAGATTTAGTTCAACGATAGAGATGTTAAAAAGTTAATTTATCTTCCCCTATATATATATATGACACATTGTATAATGGACAGGCTTTTGGGAATGAGTTCTACTTATCACTTGAAGCAAAAAAACGTATCATAAACATCACTTTAATACATCATCATTATTTAGTTAAATGCTAATGCATTGCATTTATTAGTGTGATTGTTGTATGCAGCTGGTACATTTGTTTTTCTTTGTGCAAAAGTGTTAGTTGCATGTCTTTTTACATTTGAGCATGAGGAGTATGTGAATATGCATTTGTGTACAGATTTTGTAATGCTGTAGTATAATGTCAAGAATGGTTTCCAAATCATACAGTCCTGTATCAAAACACATTGCAGACGTTTAAGTTAATAATAATTCAGTTAGTAAAGTTGATGCTAAGCTAGTTGTAAACTTTTAAGTTAGTAATAAAGAAAGTTTTCAAAGGAAGTGTTTGTATGTAGTGCTATTAACCCTGACATTTAACTTGATAATTAAATTGTTGAACTTTGTTTTTAGGACATTGTTTGCTGTATGTGACATGTAGAATATGCATTTACGTGGGGAGACATTCTGTGCGTGGGTCTGCGTTCATGCAGACACACGCTGAATCAATGAATAAGTGGTACATTCTGTTGCTTTTCACTCTGTCAAGGCAGATGCATAGACATGCTGCAAATTATTGACATCTTTGTGTATGCTGATGAATTGCAGCTGCGATAAGTTATTATCCAGCGAAGATCAAGTCCCAAGAAGGATATAAGCTTGGAAATCAGCCATGATTTTTGAAGACTTGGAGAACATAGATGATGTGCTTATGTGTTGTTCTTTCCTAGCTACTGCATTTTGACATGGCCCATTAGTGTCTAGTGTTGTGCAATGTTGGAATAGGTTCAAAAGAAATGCAGATTTTTATTTGAATTGTGTATATAGTGGTATTTCAGAAAACATAAGCTATATTTATTTGAAACATCTAAAAATATGAAACTGTAGCTGAGAAGCATTTTTATGCCTGAGGGCTGCATAGTGAAGTTGGCTCTGAACCTATCAATATAGTGTCCATAAATGTAGATAGAGTGTTCACTTCTGAGAATGGCAACATGGACAGGTATATCCACGTACATCACTATTTGCTTGTCACAGCTTTGTAATGGCTTCCATCACTTGTAATTGGTCACAAAAAGAAGGATACTGTATCAAAAGAAATGATGTTCTGCAAGAAGATGGAGAACATGAAAAGAAATTTATAAACAGTTTCATAACCCTTCATATGGGCAGGCTTTGATGAAGATGATGATGATGATGATGATGGTGGTGGTGGTGGTAATGACGATGATTATGATGATTATGATGGTGATGACGACAACGAACCTTTGGATTCTATTATACCAGACGATTACTTGGTCCAGTGAATGCCTTCAGCTGTGTAAGGAAGATTAACGTGGAATTAATGATGACAGCATAGGGTATTCTAAATCATGAGTCGGAAGCTTTATTATTTTACATGTTGGAATGGTCTCATTGTCATAAGTTCCCCATTCTGGATCTTCACATCTGTTGATAATTTCATTCTTTTCATTGAAATTCTTTCCATCATTTACGAATTCCTTATACTGCTTTGGTCACCTTCCATTCTATATAATCTTTGTGTTTTCTTCCATATTTCCAGTTTTTGTTTAATAAGTTTGTTGTTGTTATCCATTTTAGTGCTTTTTTATCATAATATTTTATATTCTGTTTCTAGTCATCTTTAAATCCAGTTTTCTATTTCATTTCAAACATGGGATATATGTAAAATACTACATTTATGTAAATCTATTGCAGGAGCTGCACAGTAAGCTGAATAGAATTTATTTGTAGTGTGATATTGCATGGTAATGTGCTTTGAGGTGGTGGTGGGGCTTGCCTGGTCATATGATCTGAGAACTGTTCCAGCAGTAGCATAGCTACTGGTGGGGTCCCCTATGCCAGACAGGTCAAAGGTGATGATCCAGACAAAAAGAGATACTTTCATCCTCTAGTTTGAGGGTTGGGCATAGGGTTGACAACCCCACCCTTTAAAAAGCCTCCATTGTTAAGAACCTTTTAAAGATGGTGAATAGTGCCTACAGAAGAAGAAGAAGAAGAAGAAGAAAAATTTTCTAAACATACTGACATGGCCAGGAAGGACTAGAGCTCACAGTTTTGTTTTCTACTGAGCATACAAGAAATAAAATATGAAGATTCCAAGCACACTACAGAATATAATATGACTGACTGCATCTCAGAATGTACTTGAAAATAGAAACAAGTAATAATATGGTGAGGTTATTTTATCGAACAAGTTGTTGCAGTCTTACTTGTTTTTATATATCAAATATTGTATTTTAGACGTGTTGTCGCTCGGTTTGTAGTGCCTTATTTTCTGCTATTCTAAAATTTTTATGATTCTTACCATTGACATAATATGTAATGAGCTGTTTATACATATAACCATACAGGTACAAATTTCTTTGAATAGACGGAAAAACTTCAGATGCTGAATTTATGGGGGACACCACAACCAATAAAGTGACATGCTTTTTTGATAAAATATATTTATAATATCTTACTTAATACATCATTTGACACAACATTAAGATCACTGTAGAATTATCCTCTTATGTTGAAAATGAAATTTTATTTTCAGTATGTCTTCATATTACTTGAAGGAAAGTGTAATTTTATGAACAATAAAATTTGCAAACTGTTTAAAGTACTCGTTATACTCTGAACAGGGAATTTTATATTGGTTCTGTTGTTTGTAATAGTTTGCACTGACAAAGGAGAAACAGTACAAAAAGGTAAAATAATTTGGAGTTCATAATCATTTGTGTGGTAAATGAGCCTTGTGTGATGTGGAACATACATAACATTATATCATCATCATCTCCTCTAAAGCCTTATTCTGAATTCTAATATTGAAGCCTTACAGTGAACTCTTCTGAGAGGCAACATCTTCATAACCCCATTTACCTAAAATCCAGTTCCATATTTTCTCCTAGATAAAAAATGTAAAATATTTTACTCATGTGAATTTGTTTGCAGGAACTTAACAATATTGTACACAAGCAAGTATGAAACTTTGATTGATTGATTGATTGATTTAACATCCATAACCGTTACATTATGTACAATTGGACAAGTCAGTTTTTTAAAAAAATATATGAGATTAAACATCACATCAAATGACTAACAAACTTATGTGTTGTGGTCTTAATTTAAGATGTCAAAGCAGGGAATTTTATTGAGTATTCATTTTTAATGTCAGTAATGGCTGTATGGATCTAAGCCTGGATTTCCCCAAGTGTTATATTTCCAGAGCTTTTCCAACAAAAATTATGTGTGCAGTTCTGTTCAATACATTCTACATCCCCCTTCCATATAAAGTTTATTGATTTAATTGTCCAACAGTATTAGGTGAAGAGTACAAATTGTGCAGCTCATCTTTTTGTAATTTTCTTAATTTTCCCACTTATAGTCCCATATGTTTTCTTCATTAGCAATCACTTAATTGTAACTCTTATTCCTTCTTGCAGTAATTTTTGACTGCACTAAATCCTATGTAGAAAGCACATAACCAGACAGTGACAAAGTAACAGCAGCAGATCATTGATGTAATTCTTACAAATGGTTAAATAATATGTGGACATAACACAAAAATCCTGAGTTGAAGACATGTAACATGTATCTGAATGGTGGTTCTAGTTTGATGACAAATTTTTCATTGTATTTATTTCTGTCAGCAAGATTTCTGTAAAGATACACTATGCGTTAGTTAACTGCTACATCTTTTGACCTTTCAGCCATCATCTGGTGTGCAATTTCACTGTTGGCTGCACTCCTCACCCCCTGCATTGGCCAAGTTTTGTGCTTACAGAAATAAATACAGTTGGAAATACAACACAACATGATGCTAAGATACAATATTTACAGTGTTTATGACAAATTTCTAGTTTGGGTGGAATTGACTTTGTGAGACAGTGTGGCCAAATGTTCATTACATAATTGTAGTACCTGCTGAAAACTTCACACAACCAAGTAGGCTGTAGAAGTACCCTAACATAAAAATACTGCAGTGTTAAATTGTATGAATAAGTAATTATTTCAGTCAGACAAATATGTGTGTATAAGTATGAGTACACTGTATTATACAAGGGTCAGTCAAAAAGTTCCCAGAATGGTGGTATAGCACTCTAATGGTAGGACATACGGCAACGCTTACCTAATCACCTTCAAAGTAGGACTCTTGCGCGCATACATACTTGCTCCATCAATCCTGCCATTGTTGGAGGCAGCGGTGGAAGGCTTCTTTTGGAATCTTCCGGAGCCCAGCTGTCGCATTTGATTTGATGTCCTCCATGGTTGGGAAACGTGTCCCCTTGAAGCCCATTTTCAGAGTAGGGAACAGCCAAAAGTCACTCAGAGCAAGATCCGGAGAGTACAGTGGTTGAGTGATGACAGGAATGTTTTTCTTGGCAAGGAATTGCTGCACAACAAGCAATGTGTGGCTTGGTGCATTATCGTGATGCAGAAGCCACTGTCCCTGCCACTTGTCACTCTGCTTCCTCCAAACCGCATCGCGCAACCTCTGCAAAAATTTCACATAGAAATGGCCAGTAACAGTACCAACTTCTTGCTCCAACTCCACGATGGTCATTCTTTTATCACATCGAATCAGGTGTCGCACTTTTCCAATCATTTCTTCAGTTGTGGATGTCGAAGGTCTCCCGCTGCGCTGGTCATCCTCTTAACGTCTCCTGCCCATTCTTAAACCGGGAAAACCAGTCGTAAACTGCAGATTTCTTTAGTGCAGTATCACGGTAAATTTACT